GAGCACAGGGACTGGAATCCTGGTGGGGCTATGAGGAGCACAGGGACTGGCCTCCTGCTGGGACTCTGGAGGAGCACAGGGACTGGTCTCCTGCTGGGACTCTGGAGGAGCACAGGGACTGGTCTCCTGCTGGGACTCTGGAGGAGCACAGGGACTGGCCTCCTGCTGGTCCCAGAGTCAGGACTAAACATGAAGAGGCAGCGTTTCAGATTCATGCTGCTAAAACCTAGAACAGTCTTCCTGAAAATGTGAGACAGGCTTCTTCTCTAACAATGTTCAAATCCAGGGTAAAGCAGTTCTGTTTTGCCTTTCTCAAGTCTTATATGAACCAACAGTAAATACAGAGAAAGATCCGGACACACTCTTGTACATTTTTTATTTCAAATTCAACATGAGCCATTACAAAAGCGAAACGGTTTTAAAATTCCGGTCTGTTTTTTGTAGCGTACTTTTAAATATACAGATTTATACATTTTCTAACGGACGTTTCTCTCTCTCTCAAAAAAAAAAAAAAAAAATGTTGGATTTTTCTACAGAAGAACGAGAAGAAGGCCTCCAGTGGTACAAAGTAAAAGTTCACAAAGCTAAGGTGCAAATATGTCGTTGAGATTTACAAAGAAAGTTATGTACAGACGGGAAGAAAGTCGAGAAAATGACAAAAACAAAAGAAGAAGAAGAAGAAGTGTAGCTTTTTGTGAATGGGTAAAAAATATACAAGGTGCGTCAACGTCGCAATTTCTCAAATACAAAACTAGCAAAAAATATGTCATTATTTTGAATTAATATGTTTGTATGGGCTCCACTTTATACGATACGGATTATGATACGGTTTCACATTTCCCGTGTTTTATGTATTTTAACGGGAAAAACGGGAAAAATAACGTTAATCTGAAATCAAACTGATATTGAGATAGATTCACTTTGTCATTTAATGTTTTAGATTGTGAAATACAATCTTCGGTACAAAATAAATGGTGAAACAAGTTTGAAAGAAAAAAATGCTTTCCGCCTGCAACTCCCTGTGCTACCACCAGAGGGAGGAGCTGACTTTTGTTTTACGTCCAAATTTACAGCCGCACACACATCACAGTCATGCAGTTGAAACGAAAGAAAGAAAGACAAAAGATACACAAGCATATCTAGTTTGTACATGGGGCTTTTTTTCTTTCCAATTGTGCCAAAATGTCTGAAGTAGCCGCTAAAATCTCCTGGAAGTCTGTTGTGAAGGTGTGTGTGGCTGTGAAACCAACGGTAATGAACCAAAGGGAGATTCTGGACATTGGTCAACTCCCCACGATGGAACAAGACCTATGTGAAAAAACTTTGATTCTCTAATCTGTGTTGACTATTTCAACGGTTTTGTCATGTCCTGTGAGATAAACTACTGCTGTGATTTAAGGCGATACAAGAATATATTAAAATTTAATTGAACAGATTCAGAAACACAACCCAAAAATTAGCCAAAGTTTCCCTTTCTGCTTCTTTCTCTTGAGCCCATTTTCATTTTGTACCATTAGTATATGTTAACAGTCTAGTTTATCATGCGTGTAGCCTGCAGTGCTGATGCCGCTAAACTAACAGTCAAACCAACTGTTTAGTGCGGGAATAACACTTGTATATTTCCTAAACCAATTCACGAAACTCTGTACAATTAAAGTAAAATCAGCACCACTCTTTCTCCATATTCGCTCAGCAGTATTACAATGGCATCTTTCGGGTACATTCAAAAATACAGACGCACAACACAACCACACACACATGCACACGCAGAAACACACACACACACACAGAGAACTCAAATCAAAGGCAGACAGAGAACAAGAGAAATCATTCACAAACTTAAAAAATATTGCGGGGAAATGACAATGAAATCTTATAATTGCATATCAGCGATTTATCCCAATGTCTAGACGTAAAAAAACGAGTCATCCAAACACACACGAGTCCCGATAGTTTAGGAAGGTCTTAAACTAGGTCTTAAACTAGGTCTTAAACTAGGTCTTAAACCAGGTCCATTTCTAGGTCCAGGCGGATGTGATGGCATTGGTGTTATCTTGGCATGTTATGACCCTAGCCTTACATTTGTCTGCTTTAGAAGAACCCATCCATCCATTTTCTTCAGACAAAGTGGGGTTAAGAGTCTTGCCCATGGACACAACGACAGAAGACATCAGTGGGAGTCAGTGGAGAAGGACTCATTGTGGACTTGAACCCACAACCTTCAGGCTCAAGGGCCAATGGGGTAGCACTGTCGGCCCTTTAGAACAACCATAATAACCTATTGTTGAACAGAGACTGACGTAAGACCAAAAAAAAGGCTGCAGTTGTGCTTAATTCAGATTACACACCCAGAGATTGCATTGTTTTGGTCATAATTCTGAGACTAAACCACAATCTGTTTCTCTCCAGTGAGAGAAAGAGATTGGGTCGCTCTAGGGCAGGGCTGGGCAAATATTTTCCACATTGGGATATCGGCTTTTTGTGGAGAGCCAGACCCAATGTCATGTGGTTCATTTTGGATTTAAAAGGTACATTGGAGAATTTTCCCACATTTTAGGAAAGAATTTGCCTCTCCACTTTTTGAACCAAACTCTCTGGTCTTATTGGACGAGCACGTGTCACCAGAATGATTGACAAGTGGGAGGACCAATAGGAGTCTTGATGATCCACCCAGAAGCAGAAAATCCTTCTATATACCTTTACATTAGCCAAAACCTTCTTCAGTGTTAGAATTTTAACAGTATGTATATTTTTTTTTTTATTGAACGCACATGACTCAGACTTTTTGTTTAGGGCAAATTATTACTAATGGCATTTTGGGTTCATAATTGACAACAGAATACATGTATAACAGGCCAGGGTAGCACATATACAGCCACAAGCCGTCATGATCTGTAGGAGTAAAAATGTGTCGCTCCACGTCTGCTCTGGGGAGATCTCAAATGTGTCGTTCATGCAAGGCTACCCAGGAAATTACAGGAAGTGGAGGCTTTTTGTTGAGAAGAATGTGCAGCGGTCAGATGTTAAAGGAGACCTATGATGGAAATGTTTTTTGAGATTTGAACCATGTTACATTGTGCCTCCTCAGTCACAGACCTGGAGTTGTTTTTAGCTCCATCCACGCTAACATCAGGAACTTCTGGTGCTTGCTGCTTCTCTATAAAAGCTCCCAATCTCAGTCCTGTAACAGTGTGATGTCATTGTACCACCATGACATCACACCCAGGGCAAATTCACAATTAAAGTCGCAAGCGGCAATTAATTTTTTAAAACAAAAGTGTTGCCTCTGAATTAGTTTTGGAACTTTGTCAGGATAAAAATCAAATGTCCACGTTTCAAAAATGAAGAAAAACTAATTGTATGCCTCCCTCTGGTGGCAGCACAGGGAGTTACAGGCAGATGGCATTATTTATCTTTACTTGTTTCACCGTATATTTCATACTGAATGATATGAATTCAGATAAAATTACAAAATAAATAACATTATAATTTTGATGAGTTAGCTTAGGCCGCTGCCCCCGCGACTCGGCAACGGATAAAGCGGAAGAAAATGTATGGATGAAGAATAGTCTTTAAAAAGGGACATCTACACTGTAAGAACTGAGGGGATGGACACTTTTGATCAGGGTCAGACGACGAGTTTCTGATCTTAATAATGATTGAAATATTAAAATTGACAATAAATGATTTTACAAAACCAGTAACGAGTGAGAAAATGTGTTTGCGTTGCCAGTCAGAATATCAAAAATATGACCAAAATGTCTTCAAAATGACTGCCGCGGTGTGTAAAGTTTCTATATATTTGTGATTAAAGAAGTACAAATGCTAACGTGTGTCTGGGGATTTTACATTTTAAAAGAAACATGAAACAAAGTGCTATGGTATCGATGTCGGAAGCGGAAATTTTTCACTTAAAATCAGGGCCTTGAAATGATGATTGATTGACGGATAGACCATGGTGTGTTGCCAGATCAGAGAGAGATTTGATCCAGACCAGACCTGGCAAAACTGGCTTGAATCAGACCTCTCTTTGTTCTGAATATTTAAAAAACGTTTTATTCATGCTTCTTGTCACATTTAAAGCTGGGGTACCTAACTTTGCTTCATAAATAATATATATTTGCTAGAGTTTTGTAAAAGTCAAATAAGAACACAGCTTATAAGAAAACATTTATCTTTTGTGTTTCCACCAGCTCTACTTGGATCTACTCTACTCCAATTGAGAGCGTTTCTAACATTCTGTGTAACCAGTGCCAGGTCCTTCTTTAGTCCCTCTTGGCCCTGGTTCTATCCAGGCCAAGCTGGTACTAAAGTGTTCTAAGTGACAGTCATTGGCCACAGTGCTGCTGGAAACCATGGTTACCAAGGCATTACCCTGAATACTGGTTTGCTGTGGTTCTGCTGCTAGGATATGGTACTAGATACTCAAGCGTAATGGTAAAGCAAAGAGATAGAGTAGAGTAGAGTAAGGTAGAGTAGTGTCGAGTAGAGTAGAGTAGAGTAGAATAGGGCTGGTGTAAATGGGGCTAATGTGAAACCAAGGGATAGAAACCAAGCCGTTTTCAGAGCAAGACACAACGGTTTTGCGTTAGATAATTCTATTTAATGGAGGTTTTGAAAGTTAAGTACCCCAGCTTTAACCTCTTCATCTAACTTAGAGACAGAGGCTGAAGTCTGAGATCCACAGACCTCCTTCCCACGACCACGGCCTTCACATCTGTGCACAAACTCCACCCTCATTATACATATATCTATCTATTGCAGAATGAGTTTGCAGACCGCAGCGGGTTTTCTACAGCGAGATATATAGAAAAAAGCAACATTGGGTGAATAAAATTGTCCTTTTTCTGCTTCTCTGAGATTGTCAAAAACCCCAACCCGCTCCTGGTCATGTGACAGCGGTGGTCAGAGTCTTAAAGGGGCGGCGCACGGACTCACGCGCACGGACTCACACGCACACACTCACCGCACTTGTACAGAGAGAGAGAGAGAGGCAGGTTTTAAAGCAGAGGTTGTTGGTAGTAGGCCGCCTGCTGCTGCTGCTGCTGGGGGGGGCTCTGCAGGGGAGGGGGGGCCATGGGGTAGGACGCGGGGGGGTAATTGGACATGTCCATGTTCTGAGGGGCGTACGAGGCTGGAGGCATGTACTGAGGGTTCATGGGACTGCTGTGGAGAGAGAAGGAGAGTTAGAATGGGACAAAACGAAGCCGTTTTTTATCTAGAGTACATTCTGACTGTCTTATAACAAGATTGGCCAATGGGACAAAGCCATTTACTGGTATTTTCTCATTTCAAGAGAGACATTTCTTGTATATTTAAGATAATTTTGCTTTGTACCATTGAAAAATCTTGTTTTAAGGCATTCAGAAGATACATTTTGCCAATTTTGAGCCATTATTTAAAACTTTTTTTTCATCACTTTTTGCATTGAACCTGCTAGTTTTGCTCCAGCCATTTGCTCTGGCTCATATTGACTTACGTATAAAAGTAAACTCGAGCTCAGTAACTGTTAGTGTCACATTCACCATTTTGGACTTAAACAATCTGTGGTTTATCTCTCTCTTTGATCCTGGAGTTTCTATTTTTAGTCTTTCTAAATCCAGATATGAGCCATAAACTAATTGACCAGCCTAGACTTAATTTGCAAACTCTGACTTGTCCTAGCAACCGTCTTAGCAACAACAAAGGCCCATATGAAGACATTTTCTAGCTCATGGTATCAATTTGTCTTCTTCCAAACTGCCTAACACTGTGGTGATGTCAGCACTCGGTCAGTCCACTCCTAACATGCGCTTTATGGTTAGAACAACTAAAAAATTCACAGTTAAAGTCGCAAGCGGCAATGAAAGCCCTCACTCTCGCAACCATGATACTACATATTGGCTGGGGCTAATTATTATTATGCAGTATTTGTGATCATTTTGGGCCTTAAACATGATCTGGAGATGATTAATTTGGCTCTTTAATGATTTAGAATGTGAAATAATGAAATGTTAAAGCTCAAAACAGCCTGAATCCAGTCAAAACAGTTGTATAATCTGTGTTGTCGGCTCTTGGACACGGCTTTAGAACTAGACTATCAATGACCATTTTAATTCAAACTCCAAACGACCCGACCAAACGCAGCTCACCTCATGTAGGCCTGCGTCTGGCTGGACGGGGGGGCGTGTGGGGGCAGAGAGCAGAGCGATGCGGGCTGGTCTCCGGGCAGAGAGTAGGTCTGTGCTGGGGGTGCCTGGTTCATGGGTGAGGGCAGGTACGGAGCTCCTGCTGGTCCCATGTACTGAGGACAAGAGAGACGAGAGGTCAGAGGAGCTAAAATGTACAGACACTAAAATAAATGATTTATTTGATGTTTTTTGTTTCTTTCTAAAACAAAATAAATTTGCTTTGACCCATCGGGATATCTTGTTTTAAGGCTCAGTCAGAAGGTGCTCAAATTTAGATACATTTCGCCAAATTTGAGCCATTTTTCACTTGTTTTTGATCACTTTTTGCAGTGTGTGGGTTGTATTTTGTGTAAATCTATATTTTTAGACTTAACTTCAGGAAAACAAAGGGAAATAATCTACAGCTACAAACTCGATTTCAAAGACTCGAGGGCAACTGTGGCATAATAAAAATAAAACCCTGATGTTTTAGCCACAAATACCACTTCACTGATGAATTATTAGACAATGCTTTTTATAGGTTAATCAAAAGGAAAGAGAGGTGTATTTTTAGACTTGACAAAATACTGATTTCTTTCAGCTTTAGACCCACTGAGTCACGGAGAGAAGCATCAAACACAAGAGACAAATTAAAGGAAAAACTTTTTGACTTTGTTATTATTAGTGTCTCTTTATTTGTAGAATCATTGGTTCATTTTGAGGCAAAATCTAAAAATAAACTAAAAACTACAACTAAACTATTGCTAAATATCACAGAAATAATAAAAGGATCGAGTTTAAACATCATCTTCATTACCGAGCAAGCAATGTTCAAAAATCGGACTAAACCAGGACTAAACCAGGGCTAAATTAGGGACTAAATCAGGGCTAAACTAGGGAAAAAAACCAGAGCTAACGCAGGACTAAACCAGGGCTAGAATAGGGACTAAACATGGACTAAACCAGGACTAAACAAGGAACTAAACTATGGACTAAACCAGGACAAAAATCAAGAATTAAACCAGGACTAAACAAGAGCTAAACCAGGATCAAACCAGGACAATGCCAGGACTAAATCAGGACAAAAATCAACACTTAAACCAGGACTAAACAAGGAACTAAACTATGGACTAAACCAGGACAAAAATCAAGAATTAAACCAGGACTAAACAAGAGCTAAACCAGGATCAAACCAGGACAATGCCAGGACTAAATCAGGACAAAAATCAACACTTAAACCAGGACTAAACGAGAGCTAGACCAGGACAAAAAACAGGATATAAACATAAACTAGGCGTAAACTAGACCTGTCTCAAACATAACCCAGACCAAAACCTGGACAAAACCAGTATTAAACCAGCACCAAACCTGGACTTAACCAGGACTAATCCAGATCAGAAGAACAGTCATAAATGCAGACATAAAGCCCGCTCCCAGAGACACCAGTCACATTTCTAAACATAGACCAGAGCAGATGCAGGACCAGCCTTTGTTAAAGCCACAGCAGGTGCTGGACCAGCCTGACGGTGCATTCACTGTCTGCTGAAAACAGGGGAAAAGTCGAGATAAAAGATGAAATACAGAAAGCGTGGGAGGGGCCGGTGGAGTGGACATTTTTCTACATCTCCAGGGACAGACAGCGATATCAATCATGAGAGAGACGCAGCAGCCTCCTCCTCCTCTTCAGCAGAGGACTCTCGGAGCAGACAATATGCTAACGTAATGCTAACGCTAATGAGATTTAGATATGTACATTATAGACATAACACTTAAATACTTTTTTCTTTTATAATTCATCCTAATGAGGCAGTGTTATATTATTAAGATCAGGGCTGGTTTTCATTTGTACTCCCCTTATACATGTTTAGTTGAAGTTAGAGTTTTAGCTAGAGCCACATTCAAGCTTTAAATCTGTCTTGTATTTTCTCCACCACCAGCAGCAGCAGCGAACAACGAACTAAAACTTTGATATATACTCCACAGATTGTGCTGTGGGATGGTCTGAACCAGGACTAAACCAGGACTAAGACAGGACTAAACCAGGAATAAACCAGGACTAAGACAGGACTAAACCAGAAATAAACCAGGAATAAACCAGGACTAAACAGGACTAAACCAGGACTAAACAAAGACTAACACAGGACTTAAGGAGGACTAAAGTAGGACTAGACCAGAACAAAACCAGGATTAACACAGGACTAAACTAAGACTAAACCAGGACTAAACCAGGACTAGACCAGGACTAAACAAAGACTAACACAGGACTTGAAGACTGAACCAGGAATAGACCAGAACAAAACCAGGATTAACACAGGACTAACACAGGACTAAACCTGGACTAAACCTGGACTTAAGAAGGACTAAACCATGACTAAACCATGACTAAACCAGGACTAAACCAGGACTAAACCAAGACTAAACCAAGACTAACACAGGACTTAAGGAGGACTAAACCAGGACTAGACCAGACCTAAATCAGGACTTGAGGATGACTAACACAGGACTTAAGGAGAACTAAACCAGGACAAAACCACGACTAAACCAGGGCTAACACAGGACAAAACCAGGTCTAACACAGGACTAAACCAGGACTAAATAGGAACCAAACCAGGACCGATAAACGGTATAAATGAGTGTCCAATAGTGTTGTCTACATATCCTGGTCATAATCTTGTCACTTTGGTGCAAATTAGTTGAAAGTTAGACATTCTGCCTAAAACCGTCTGTGAGGCGCCATCTGCTGGCGACCTGTATTACTACATTTGAATTTTGAATCTGGCGCCAACACTGGCACAGAAGTTGGACCTGACGTCTGCAAGTTGGACCTGACGTCAGCAGCCCCCCGCCCAGAGCAATGCCAAGAGAGAGAGGATTGACTTTTTAATGGATTTATCGACTTAAAGATCGTTCAGAGATGGTTCTGAAATCGTTAAGAGCGCCCTAAGCAGACCCTCTATAAACATGATTCACATCTGCATTGATCCAACGCCAACAACACCACAAACCATTCTACAAAACTTAAAACTCACTTCCACCTCACGTCAAATGCTTGTCTCAGATTTCATTTAACTCATCAAGTGCCAGCCTTGTTTCAACAGCTTGGGTTTAGAATGCCAGCCATTATGTCAAATTTTCTTGATATTTGCAGAGCCACAGCATATTCTGTGTTACTGTCATAAACACCTGCTATACTGTGTTTGAAAGGTGAGGCTTTGAACTTTCAGATGGTGAAAACCTTCCGTTTCTACCAGCGTTTGCCCCTGAGATATCCTAAGCAAAAGATGAGAAACTTTCATGAAAATCCATGTGAATTTCCTAGAAATTTTTGATCACCGTTCTCATGATCATTTTGACCCCACGGGATGAGATCTTGCGTGAAGCCCCAGATCGAGGGAGATTATCAGTGGTCTTATATGTCTTCCGTTTTCTGATAATTGCTCCCACAGTTGATTTGTTCACACCAAGCTGCTTGCCTATTGCCAGTCTGGTGCAGGTCTACAATTCTTTTCCTGGTGTCCTTTGACAGCTCTTTGGTCTTGGCCATAGTGGAGTTTGGAGTCTGACTGTTTGAGGCTGTGGACAGGTGTCTTTTATACAGATGAGTTCAAACAGGGCCATTAATACAGGTAACGAGTGGAGGACAGAAGAGCTTCTTAAAGAAGAAGTTACAGGTCTGTGAGAGCCAGAGATCTTACTTGTTTGAAGTGACCAAATACTTATTTTCAACCATAATTTACAAATAAATTCTTTACAAATCCTACAATGTGATTTTTTCCCCACATTCTGTCTCTCACAGTTGAAGTGAACCTATGATGAAAATTACAGACCTCTGTCATTATTTTAAGTGGGAGAACTTGCACAATCGGTGGCTGACTAAATACTTTTTTGCCCCACTGTAAGCAGATAAATTTATCAAAGCATTCACAATGTGTGCCAGGGTGTCTACTTTCAAAATGTAGAAAAAAGTCTTTCCGTAAAATTACATTTGTGGCACTCAATGAGTTAATACATTATTTCCCCCCCGACTCTACAGTGAGATCTAAAGTCTGGCTCAGAGAATAGACTTAAAGCAGACTTCATGACCTCGCACTAAAGTACATCTGAGACATGTTAGTGCCATATGAACCACATCTGAGGAGCACAGGGACTGGCCTCCTGCTGGGACTCTGAGGAGCACAGGGACTGGCCTCCTGCTGGGACTCTGAGGAGCACAGGGACTGGCCTCCTGCTGGGACTCTGAGGAGCACAGGGACTGGCCTCCTGCTGGGACTCTGAGGAGCACAGGGACTGGCCTCCTGCTGGGACTCTGAGGAGCACAGGGACTGGCCTCCTGCTGGGACTCTGAGGAGCACTCTTTTAGGAAAGAACCGCCCTCTCCACTTTTTGAACAAAACTCTCTGGTCTTATATGACTATCACCAGAATGATTGACAAGTGTGAGGACCAATAGTCTTGATGATCCACCCGGAAGTCTCCTCGCTCTTTTCTCCTCTCTACTAGGGAGATACACCAGAGAGAGAACAGAGAGAGACCAGAGAGAGACCAGAGACTGTTAGAGAGTGTTCTTACCGGCATGGACATGGCTGTAGTGGCAGGGTACTGATGCTGCTGCTGCTGCTGCTGCTGCATCTTGGAGTATGGAGTGTAGTATGGCGCTTCGTTCACCAGTTTGTTGTAGAGTTCCAAAGCCTCCAGCACCTTCACGTTCAGCTCCGACAGCTCCGAGTGCTTCCTACAACACGGAAAAGTGGCTTAGATCAGGGAACAACACTTCTACCAGAGGAAGCTCCATGTCTGCCACTGTATCTCGCCTCTGTCTCTCTCCTGCTCCAGCTGTTGACCCAAACCACTGGATCTCTTTCTGATGGTAGCTATAGCTCCATGGTTACAGAGTTAGAGCTGAGTCTCAGTCCATGTGACCTAGCACTAGCATTAGCATTAGCATTAGCAAAAGCCAGGCAGTGAATACGACTTTGAAGCTACAAATTGGGGTTATTGTCAATCATGAAGCAGAATTTAGCTAATGAAGTTCACGCTGTAGATCATGTCATTGTTATCCGTGTGTGTTACCTGTCAATTTCTTCCAGTTTCTCGTCTATCAGTGGGTTCATTTGTTCACACGCTCCTGTTTCATTCACAGAAAACACACACCACAGTTCATTAGTGGATTGGGATCAAAACGCAATGTTGAAAAAGTATTGAACAGAAAGAGGTAGAGAGGTAGCATCTCTGTGGGGTCTGGGCTGGGATCGGCTGGGTATCTCCCTCTCTGGTATCTCCCTCTCTGGTATCTCCCTCTCTGGTATCTCCCTCTCTGGTATCTCCCTCTCTCTGGTCTCTCGCTCTCTCTGGTCTCTCGCTCTCTCTGGTCTCTCGCTCTCTCTGGTCTCTCGCTCTCTCTGGTCTCTCGCTCTCTCTGGTCTCTCGCTCTCTCTGGTCTCTCGCTCTCTCTGGTCTCTCGCTCTCTCTGGTCTCTCGCTCTCTCTGGTCTCTCGCTCTCTCTGGTCTCTCGCTCTCTCTGGTCTCTCGCTCTCTCTGGTCTCTCCCTCTCTCTGGTCTCTCCCTCTCTCTGGTCTCTCCCTCTCTGGTCTCTCCCTCTCTCTGGTCTCTCCCTCTCTCTGGTCTCTCGCACTCTCTGGTCTCTCGCACTCTCTGGTCTCTCGCACTCTCTGGTCTCCTCGCGCTCTCTCTGGTCTCTACCTCTCTCTGGTCTCTACCTCTCTCTGGTCTCTACCTCTCTCTGGTCTCTACCTCTCTCTGGTCTCTACCTCTCTCTGGTCTCTACCTCTCTCTGGTCTCTACCTCTCTCTGGTCTCTACCTCTCTCTGGTCTCTACCTCTCTCTGGTCTCTCGCTCTCTCTGGTCTCTCGCTCTCTCTGGTCTCTCGCTCTCTCTGGTCTCTCGCTCTCTCTGGTCTCTCGCTCTCTCTGGTCTCTCGCTCTCTCTGGTCTCTCGCTCTCTCTGGTCTCTCGCTCTCTCTGGTCTCTCGCTCTCTCTGGTCTCTCGCTCTGTCTGGTCTCTCGCTCTCTCTGGTCTCTCGCTCTCTCTGGTCTCTCGCTCTCTCTGGTCTCTCGCTCTCTCTGGTCTCTCGCTCTCTCTGGTCTCTCGCTCTCTCTGGTCTCTCGCTCTCTCTGGTCTCTCACTCTCTCTGGTCTCTCACTCTCTCTGGTCTCTCGCTCTCTCTGGTCTCTCGCTCTCTCTGGTCTCTCCCTCTCTGGTCTCTCCCTCTCTCTGGTCTCTCCCTCTCTCTGGTCTCTCCCTCTCTCTGGTCTCTCGCACTCTCTGGTCTCTCGCACTCTCTGGTCTCTCGCACTCTCTGGTCTCTCGCACTCTCTGGTCTCTCGCACTCTCTGGTCTCTCGCACTCTCTGGTCTCTCGCACTCTCTGGTCTCTCGCACTCTCTGGTCTCTCGCACTCTCTGGTCTCTCGCACTCTCTGGTCTCTCGCACTCTCTGGTCTCTCGCACTCTCTCTCTCGCTTCTGGTCTCTCGCACTCTCTGGTCTCTCGCACTCTCTGGTCTCTCGCACTCTCTGGTCTCTCGCACTCTCTGGTCTCTCGCACTCTCTGGTCTCTCGCACTCTCTGGTCTCTCGCACTCTCTGGTCTCTACCTCTCTCTGGTCTCTACCTCTCTCTGGTCTCTACCTCTCTCTGGTCTCTACCTCTCTCTGGTCTCTACCTCTCTCTGGTCTCTACCTCTCTCTGGTCTCTACCTCTCTCTGGTCTCTACCTCTCTCTGGTCTCTACCTCTCTCTGGTCTCTACCTCTCTCTGGTCTCTACCTCTCTCTGGTCTCTACCTCTCTCTGGTCTCTACCTCTCTCTGGTCTCTACCTCTCTCTGGTCTCTACCACTCTCTGGTCTCTACCACTCTCTGGTCTACCACTCTCTGGTCTACCACTCTCTGGTCTACCACTCTCTGGTCTACCACTCTCTGGTCTACCACTCTCTGGTCTACCACTCTCTGGTCTACCACTCTCTGGTCTCTCTCACTCTCTGGTCTCTCGCTCTCTCTGGTCTCTCGCTCTCTCTGGTCTCTCGCTCTCTCTGGTCTCTCGCTCTCTCTGGTCTCTCGCTCTCTCTGGTCTCTCGCTCTCTCTGGTCTCTCGCTCTCTCTGGTCTCTCGCTCTCTCTGGTCTCTCGCTCTCTCTGGTCTCTCGCTCTCTCTGGTCTCTCGCTCTCTCTGGTCTCTCGCTCTCTCTGGTCTCTCGCTCTCTCTGGTCTCTCGCTCTCTCTGGTCTCTCGCTCTCTCTGGTCTCTCGCTCTCTCTGGTCTCTCGCTCTCTCTGGTCTCTCGCTCTCTCTGGTCTCTCGCTCTCTCTGGTCTCTCGCTCTCTCTGGTCTCTCGCTCTCTCTGGTCTCTCGCTCTCTCTGGTCTCTCGCTCTCTCTGGTCTCTCGCTCTCTCTGGTCTCTCGCTCTCTCTGGTCTCTCGCTCTCTCTGGTCTCTCGCTCTCTCTGTTCTCTCGCTCTCTCTGGTCTCTCGCTCTCTCTGGTCTCTCGCTCTCTCTGGTCTCTCGCTCTCTCTGGTCTCTCGCTCTCTCTGGTCTCTCGCTCTCTCTGGTCTCTCGCTCTCTCTGGTCTCTCGCTCTCTCTGGTCTCTCGCTCTCTCTGGTCTCTCGCTCTCTCTGGTCTCTCGCTCTCTCTGGTCTCTCTCTCTCTGTCTCTCGCTCTCTCTGGTCTCTCGCTCTCTCTGGTCTCTCGCTCTCTCTGGTCTCTCGCTCTCTCTGGTCTCTCGCTCTCTCTGGTCTCTCGCTCTCTCTGGTCTCTCGCTCTCTCTGGTCTCTCCCTCTCTCTGGTCTCTATCTCCCCATCTGGTCTGTCTCTCCCTCTCTGCTTTCTCTCTCTCTCTGGTCTCTCTCAAACATCTATTTATTGTAACTCAAGTCTTATAAGTGGTGTTATGACATTTAGCCTCAGTATATATCAGTAAAAGTATAGAGAGGACTCAGATAACAAAGCCTTCTACCCTCGAGGAGCAGCATCTCTGTGGAGTCCGGACTGGGATCTGCTGGGTCGGCGTTCTGTAAAAGCGCCAGCGTCTGATCCATCTTCGACTGGAGACAAATAAAAGCAAATTAAACGTTATTAAGTGAATTAAAAAAGGGTTTTATCTGAACTGGGAGTTGGCAGAAGAGTCCAAGCTTGGCAGGAGTCTTACCTCATCAATATACACAGGCTCTGGCTCCGCTCTGGGCTCTAGATTCACTTCTTCGGGGGCGCTGGATTTATCCACGTAAAGAGCTGAAAGTAAAAGGACACAATCACAGTCAAGGCCAGGCTTAAAACAGAACCTCTCAGACTGTACGACGAACAACGAGGATGAACAAACACTGCTGACCTGACGTCACATCTATGCAATCTGTGCAATAACTTTAACTAATGTCAGAATGTGCAATATACGACTTAACCGACTCACTTTGTCCCAGTATTTGTAAAGCACTTTATGACTATGGGCAGTGAAAGGTGCTATATATGTAAGGGATAATGTATAGTAGGCAGGTCATTATCGGAAAATAAGTACAGACAGGGCAAAGGGGTGGCGTCCGGGTCTGCTTCTGCCCTGACGGTACTTATTTTCCGATAATGACCGATAATGACCAATACAGTATCCCGCTTATTATACGGCTTTGTACCAACAGAACACACAACATAAAGGTTTATTTAATGGCAGAAAAATAAAATAGTTCCCAAAGGCTTTCCCGTGGCTATGCGAGTAACAGTTATGCTAGTGACAGTTAGGCTAGTGACAGTTAGGCTAGTAACAGTTAGGCTAGAAACAGTTAGGCTAGAAACAGTTAGGCTAGAAACAGTTAGGCTAGAAACAGTTAGGCTAGTAACAGTTAGGCTAGAAACAGTTAGGCTAGAAACAGTTAGGCTAGTAACAGTTAGGCTAGTAACAGTTAGGCTAGTAACAGTTAGGCTAGTAACAGTTAGGCTAGTAACAGTTAGGCTAGAAACAGTTAGGCTAGAAACAGTTAGGCTAGAAACAGTTAGGCTAGAAACAGTTAGGCTAGAAACAGTTAGGCTAGAAACAGTTAGGCTAGTAACAGTTAGGCTAGTAACAGTTAGGCTAGAAACAGTTAGGCTAGAAACAGTTAGGCTAGAAACAGTTAGGCTAGTAACAGTTAGGCTAGAAACAGTTAGGCTAGTGACAGTTAGGCTAGAGACAGTTAGGCTAGTAACAGTTAGGCTAGTAACAGTTAGGCTAGAGACAGTTAGGCTAGTAACAGTTAGGCTAGTGACAGTTAGGCTAGTGACAGTTAGGCTAATAACAGTTAGGCTAATAACAGTTAGGCTAGTAACAGTTAGGCTAATAACAGTTAGGCTAATAACAGTTAGGCTAATAACAGTTAGGCTAGTAACAGTTAGGCTAGTAACAGTTAGGCTAGTAACAGTTAGGCTAGTAACAGTTAGGCTAGTAACAGTTAGGCTAGTAACAGTTAGGCTAATAACAGTTAGGCTAATAACAGTTAGGCTAATAACAGTTAGGCTAATAACAGTTAGGCTAATAACAGTTAGGCTAATAACAGTTAGGCTAATAACAATTAGGCTAATAACAGTTAGGCTAATAACAGTTAGGCTAATAACAGTTAGGCTAATAACAGTTAGGCTAATAACAGTTAGGCTAATAACAGTTAGGCTAATAACAGTTAGGCTAATAACAGTTAGGCTAATAACAGTTAGGCCAATAACAGTTAGGCCAATAACAGTTAGGCTAATAACAGTTAGGCTAATAACAGTTAGGCTAATGACAGTTAGGCTAGTGACAGTTAGGCTAGTGACAGTTAGGCTAGTGACAGTTAGGCTAATAACAGTTAGGCTAATAACAGTTAGGCTAATAACAGTTAGGCTAATAACAGTTAGGCTAATAACAGCGTTCCTAAAATGTCCCAGAATCTACTTCCGGGTTTTTTGCGATCGCTTTTTCTCGCATTAAAACAGTGTTTTTGTCATGAAAACCTTAACAGATACTTCTGAAATCCTCTGTGTACGTGTGTTAAGAATGTACATAATGTATTCTCCCATTAATATTTAAATGTGTTGATTGATTGGTATTTGCGTTTATTGAGCGTGGCTAGCTCCGATTTACAGTCTGTGGACAGTAGTTGTGACGAAGTGGCCGGAACTACTTGTGGAGTAATCTACACATCTCAATTACAAGCAGAGAGTGCGTTGCCAAAGGGCAGCGGTCATTATTGTTTTGAGAGGTCGGTTATCAGGAAATTGCCAATAAATAGATAAAAACTAGGGAATAAAAAAAACATATTTTTGTTTTTACTGCTCCTACATCTTAGAAAATCGAAAAAGGAGAGAGCATTAAAGGGTTAAATAAATAAACTAAAGTAAACATCTGGAGACACTGTGCTGAGAGACAGTGTGGGAACTTGAGCAGTTATGGAGAGGATCTCCTCTTTCCTTTGTCATCATAATAACTTCTGCTGTAGTCTGTTCATTGCTATTCACCTGCTCTCTAAGAAACTAAAGAGAGAGAGACTTGCCTGGTTCGGGTTCATCGTTGAGGTTTGTAGTGACGAAGTTCGAAGGGAAAAGTCCGACTCCTCTGTGGTTCTCTCCTTTCCACCAGTTAGGATCGCTGAGAGAGAAATACACACAAACACACACAAGGAAATAATGTCACTGCAGTTGTGCCTTATATCGACTGAAACCATTATCAAGTGTGTCTCGGAAACCAGTATCTGCTTGCTCTGCCGTATCAGATAGAAAACTAGAATATTGTTCAAAAGTCCATGTACTTCTGTTGTTCAACTTAAAATAACGACAGTGATGATGGGAGACATTTAAGGACATTTATTAACATTCATGGACAGTCTTCCCGCTCTTTATGAACCAATGGCTCCGATGTGTTTGTTATTATTGCATTTCCTGTGTTGTTTGATTCTTTGTTGGTGAAAACTGAAGGCTGCAGTTATGACTTACTGCTAATTTACACATAACGCGTTACAGCACATACGCGCGTCTGCTGTGCGTATAACGCGTAACATTCTTCCATGTTCGACCAATGGTGATATTTACACTACTAGTGTCATACGCGTGTATGACGGACGTATTAACGCGAGGCTGCGCCTAATTTAGGATTGATTACTAATCTTGTGCGCGCAGCAACGCGTCTCCCATTGAAAACACATGTGAAACATGAATTTCATTGTGACCCTTGGATTTAGATCGCATCTACACACACACAGCACTTGTATCTAAACATCAGCAGGAGGACTGGCAGGTTTTACAATGATTCTAGACAGTTTTTTTTCTTTCATAAAGTATGGCGTCTGGTCAGACCAGCTACAGAGACCATGAAGACAAACACATGCATGTGATTTGTGTTGCTCTACATCAGTCCTCTGTACTGTCCTGTACACTGCTGCATAGACTACACAGGGACAGCATCAGAAGCCGCGGACCTGAGCGCAGGGCCTTTGTAGATACTCCAAATAATGTTACGTGCAGATGCGCACAGTCAACGCGTACGCGCTGTTAACGCCTACTGTGTAAATTAAGTTACATACAATTAAACTGTATTAAATTTATAATAGACCAAAAAAGAAACCCAAATAAAACATCTGAGAAAAAATGCGCCTCATAGACAAAGTGACATATGCCTTTGGTTTTTAAATGTTGATAAATCAGGACCAGTCTACTTTAGAAAACACCGTATTTTCCGGACTATAAGACGCACCTGATTATAAGACGCACCAAACCCACAATGTAATAATGAAAAAAGTAGCTCAAAAACAATCATTGTGTTCTTTTTTTTGAGTAATAAGAGTAAGAAGTGATTTTTTACTTTCATGTTGATACAAAGCAACAAAAAACAAATTTAATATGAGATATTTACACAAAGATATTACAAGTGAGGACTTTAACTTCATTTATTCTGCTTATTTCACAAATCTTACCATTAAATTGGACTTCTGTGAACGACACATCAATTCTGTTACTGTTACTTGGCAAAATGGTATTGGCGGCTCAGAAAAAAATAACAATAATTAAGCCGAAGAATTCAAAATGGAGGAAAAATGGCGCGGCTTATAGTCCAAAAAATACGGTATTTTTAAAGTAGACAGTGATCCTTAATTATCAATATTTAAAAAAAACAAAGGCATAAGTCACTTTGCATGAAACAAGTTTTTATAAATGTCTGTAATTCAAGTTAAAAAGTGAGACCAATAAATGATAATCGTTTAAACAATATTCCAAATGTTTTGAGTCTCGTCTGTATGCACCATCATATCCAATTAAAATATAACAATAATATAATCAAATAGAGATAATTAAGTCTGATGTTAAACCAATAGAGTATTTAAAGCTGGGGTTCCTAACATCACCTGTCATCGAGGACCAGGACGAGCTCTCCGGCCTTAAACGTGAGCTCGTTGTCCTCAGCCGCCTCGAAGTCGTAAAGCGCCCGGACTTTCGGCATCTCCTTGGCCGCCGCCGCCACAGCGCTGTAGGGGGGAGGGTCCGAGGCCAGAGGGCGGGTCTCCACCTGCTGCTTCTGCTCCTTCAGCGACAGCTCGATGGCTGAAACAAGAGCAGAGACATGAGAGACCGAGAGTAGGTGTCCAGACTTTTATCACCGCAATTCTCTGGTTATCAGGCGCAACTATCGCCAAGAGCCGTGGTTTATAAAGCAAAGAATCTTATTTAAGGATTGTTTGTGAGATAAACGATACTTCACATGTCATTATTCTTTCCCTCCATACACGGTGGTAATTTTTGATTTGATTTGAAAACTTTATTTTGAGCAATACAAAATTCCTACAAAAACATTCTGCGCCGTACAGAAAGCACTGTACCCTCTTACATGCGCAACAAATGAAGAAAAAGACAAAACAAAAAGGTACTCCCATCTCTGTGTGGAGTGAGAGAGAAATGCCCAAAATTAACAATTATAAACCGCTTTGAGACTCAGATCTGCAGTGAAAAGGCGGTATATAAATAAAGATTACTTACTACTACTTACGAGGAGGATCCGTGCAACATGGGGAAAAACAAAAAGAGTTTGGCTCAAATAAACTGCTACTGTAGCCACAGCTGCCCTGGGGCACACTGAAAGAAGCGAGGCAACCAGCCTGTGCCATCAGCCCCTCCCGCCACCACCAACCATTCACACACACACCAGACTCATTCTAATGTGGGGGAAGAGCCTTGCCCAAGGACACAACCACAGTCTGGCACTTTACAGCCGCCCCACTGTGGCACCTGTCTTCAGAGGTCTCCCATCACAGTACTAACCAGGCCTTGTCCTGCTTTACTTCAGGTCTGACGGGATTGTGCCACATACCAACATGTCTGACAAAGAAAATATTAACTTAAAAACTAAAAATATATATAGATAACCCCAATACATTCTGAATATCATGCAAACCATTAGAATAACATGTGACTGATTCATGTATGTTACTCTAATGGTGAGGATGCAGATTTCTCCAACATGTGTAAATCATTCAAAATACAACTTCCCTTTGGTCATAATCTACGACAAACGTGGATCATTGGGATTTTTCAGTCTTGGTAAAAACCGAGGAGTATTTATTTGAATCCACTCTAAATCCAAATCTAACAAAAGTGTTTCATCTGTCGCTGCTTATAAAACAGAATGAAAGGTGTTTGGCAAAAAGAAACATGGTGGACAGAGACAGAAGTGGGAGGTTCAGAGTCAGAGCCTGTGGGATTGGCAGGAGCTCAGCATTCATCGTTATGTTTAGTATTTAACTGCACCAACTGTTCCCAGAGAGAGGATGTAGGACGATCAATGCAAGAAGAAGACGGTGATGCAACAGACTGAGCTTCAGTGAGTACGAGAAAGTATAGACTATGGAAAGTATAGACTATAGACTATAGACAGTATAGACTATTCTCGGGTTGCATTAAACTGGCCAGTAGGGGGCGAATGAGCAGACGTGGGACAACTCAGTGTTGCTCCCATTGAAAACCATGTAAAGTCTGTTTTGGAGTCAAAAGGCTCTCCTCCTGTGCGGTGTACGGTTGTTCTAAGGGAGTACTAACAAATCTTTCTCAAAAGAGTCTTGATTTTGGGCATTGTTGGAAAGAAAAACAGAAGAAATGGCTGCATTTCATTGGGGTGGCCTGCAGGGGGCGCTTATCTGGGTAAGCCTTGATCCACCTCGCCCGCCTCATTCCAGTGATTTTTTCAAAGTGTCCTCCTTTATCTGAGACCACAGATGGAACATGAACAAACTCTTGTCTTTCTCTCTATTTGTGCGGTTGCTACGGGTATAAACCCGGCAGACTGCACCACCAGGATACGTCCTGTCCTACGTTTGTTATTCGTGCCACTGCCCTGACGTCAAATGAAACCCAAGAATAGAAAGTATAGACTATAGAAAGTATAATATAAGTGTAATGTGTGCATTTGACAACAATCTAATTTTATTTCAGTCCATCTATCGCTCTTTTTGTTTTTATTTGTAAATAATTATATCCTGCAGACTATATTTTTTAGCCTTATGTTGCACACTTCTGTCCTTCGCACAATCTGAGTGATTCGATCCATGCCAAATTGATCTTCAGTGTGAGATCAAAAGTCTATCTCATCTCGTCTCCCTCTCTCTCGCGTCTCCCTCTCTCGCGTCTCCCTCTCTCGCGTCTCCCTCTCTCTCGCGTCTCCCTCTCTCTCGCGTCTCCCTCTCTCTCGCGTCTCCCTCTCTCTCGCGTCTCCCTCTCTCTCGCGTCTCCCTCTCTCTCGCGTCTCCCTCTCTCTCTCCCTCTCTCTCGCGTCTCCCTCTCTCTCGCGTCTCCCTCTCTCTCGCCTCTCCCTCTCTCTCGCCTCTCCCTCTCTCTCGCGTCTCCCTCTCTCTCGCGTCTCCCTCTCTCTCGCCTCTCCCTCTCTCTCGCCTCTCCCTCTCTCTCGCCTCTCCCGCTCTCTCGCGTCTCCCGCTCTCGCGTCTCCCTCTCTCGCGTCTCCCTCTCTCGCGTCTCCCCCTCTCTCTGGCGTGTATGTATAACATGCCTTGGTAGAAATTGAAAATCATTTTAGGGACCACCAACAGTGTTTTGCAGGCCGGATTTGGCCTGACCCTGAGGTTGACATGCCTGATCCATGTTGGAGGTCCTGGCCTGATGAAGCCAAGAGGACAACACAAACAGCAGGAATGAAATCCTGCGGTCCCCAAACCGGACGCTCTCTGGCCCCTGAAACTAGACACTCTGTCCACAGAAACAGTGAACAGAGCCGGTGACAGATGGCAGCCCTGAGGGAGGCCGAGGGACCACAGGGACAGCCCTGACTCGGGGCATACAGGGACTGGACGGCCCTCAACCAAAGGCCCCAGACTCTAGAGCTTTTGGTGTGTTAGTCTGTCTCGGGATGTTGCTTTGTGTGCCTTTGGAAACGATCCATTATCACTATTATTATTTTTAACATAAGGACAGTGGAGATGATCCAGCCCACTCTGCCTCGTATGGACCAGTTTGATTCTCTGATCTGTGTTGGCAAATTCAATTCAAAGTCCTCAAAGATATGATTTGTTGTGATCAAGGGCAATACAAGAATAAATTGAATTGAATCTAATTAGTCAAAATAATGTGCGAAGATTAGAAAGACTTTATTGCGCTTTATTGATTTTCTATAACTGTAGTTTACCAGAACAGCCCAGGGAGAGATAACACGGATAGTAAATCAATGTTTCCCAAATAGGGCTGTTCCCAGATTCAATATGGAAGTATGATTTGTCTATATATGGAAGTATGATTCATATCGATTCACGAAAGTTCACACAGCTACAGTAGCCCCATATGTGGAATATTTGGAACACAATCCTAAGCAATCATTGGTAAAAAAAAAAATAAAGTTAGCAACTGGATTCTAGAGGTTCACAACGAGGTATTGCATGATATTGGTGGAGTTGAAGTTGGCTGGATGACACTGTGAACTGTGTCCTCCTGGGTTAGCAAGGAGGAGGGCCGGGGAACACTGCAATAGAGGACCCCACCCCAAGAAGACCTTCGCAGATTACCAATTTTGTAAACATCTGATATGTTAGAATAAGACTCAAAGCATAAAAAACCTAACTTCCAAACAGAATACTGCAAAAAAGCTTGTTTTTTATCTTTATTTTGAGTATATTTTGACTGTCTTAAAACAAGATTTCCCAGTTATTTAGTCTTACTTTAAGGGCTGTTGCTTTATTTTCTCATTCCAAGGAAGACATTTCTTGTATCTTTTTAAACAAGATCATTTTGCTTTGTCCCATTGGAAAATCTTGTTTGAAGGCTTTGTCAGAATGTGCCTGAAATTGATAAACATTTTGCCAAATTTGAGCAATTCTCTTCATCACTTTTTGCTGTGGAGTTTCTAAACCTCCTCTAAGCCCCTTTCATCATTAGAGGAGCCATGTGTGGTACCTTTGGCAAGGTCGTCTTCTTCTGATGTTTTGGCTACAGCAGGAGCACTGACCTTTGCACTGGGGCCCTGCTGTGGAACACACAAGAGCAGTGCATTATGGGTCAGTGAGGTCAGAGAGAAACAACGCCATCTACGCCTCACAAAGGGAACTGAATCTTGGTTTGATGCTGTTAAAAAGCTTGACTGTTTCACACAGGGAGTCACCAATCTAAACAGTGCTCTGATGGTTTTGATTATTTTTCATTAATGTTCAAGATCCAACTGGGCAGAAGAAAAAAATTAAATAAAAAGGCAACAATTGAGGCAAATTAAACTGAGGCTGGGTCTACAGCCTCAGTCCTGGATCTACAGCCTCGGTCCTGGGTCTACAGCCTCGGTCCTGGGTCTACAGCCTCGGTCCTGGGTCTACAGCCTCAGTCCTGGATCTACAGCCTCAGTCCTGGGTCTACAGCCTCAGTCCTGGGTCTACAGCCTCAGTCCTGGGTCTACAGCCTCAGCCTGGATCTACAGCCTCAGTCCTGGATCTACAGCCTCAGTCCTGGATCTACAGCCTCAGTCCTGGATCTACAGCCTCAGTCCTGGATCTACAGCCTCAGTCCTGGATCTACAGCCTCAGTCCTGGATCTACAGCCTCAGTCCTGGATCTACAGCCTCAGTCCTGGGATCTACAGCCTCAGTCCTGGATCTACAGCCTCAGTCCTGGATCTACAGCCTCAGTCCTGAGTCTACAGCTAGTTCGTCGCTGGGAAGTGAATCCCTCGCCCAATGTGGGCCTCCCAGAGGTTTCTCGCTTTTCCCCACTGGATTGTGTTGTTGTTGTTCAGTGCAGATGCAGGAGGGTCTAAGGACAGTGGTGATCTGGGCTCCTACATATTTGTTATGATTGCATTTCCTGTTTCCTTTCTCGTTGTAAAGTCCTTCGACGACTGATGTGATTTAGAGCTATACAAAAATAAATTGAATTGGAACTTGCGATAAAAAAGCAATTTTTTGGACAAGAATATTGCTTAAGTTTTTAGTATCAGATCAACACAGACACCTGAAGAAAAGCTTTCGTCATTGCTCATAATAAAAGGCTTATTGCCAGGTTTAAAATGGAACGCTGTTTAAATGTTAGCAGCGTCCTCTCCATCTCTCCACATGTCTGCAGATGTCAGAAGGAGGAAGTAGATAAACAGTCGACGGCGTGGGACAGCTTCCCGCTCCTGCTGCGTTCGTTGCAGATTAAATGTCATCCCTGCTGCCGGTGACTCACCTGATGCATTATACAACAAATATGAGAGGCACAATAAGATGGAGTCAGCACAGATACCGACCGTGTCAATAGAGCAGGGTTATTACACTCACAGGACCAGGCTTCAGGCCATACACAGATGTGCAGGGAGACACACACACACACACACACAGGGCAACACACACAGAGAAGCAGAGAGAGAAAGAGAGAGAGACACACACACAGGGCGACACACACAGAGAAGCAGAGAGAGAAAGAGAGAGAGAGACACACACAGGGCGACACACACAGAGAAACAGAGAGAAAGAGAGAGACACACACACACACACACACACACAGAGAAGCAGAGAAAGAGAGACACACACACACAGGGCGACACACAGAGAAGCAGAGAGAGAAAGAGAGAGAGACACACACACACACACACAGAGAAACAGAGAGAAAGAGAGAGAGACACACACACACAGGGCGACACACACAGAGAAACAGAGAGAAAGAGAGAGACACACACACACACGGCGACACACACAGAGAAACAAAGAAAGAGAGGGAGAGAGAGACACGCACACACACACAGGGCGACACACACAGAGAAACAGAGAGAAAGAGAGAGACACACACACACGGCGACACACACAGAGAAACAAAGAAAGAGAGAGAGAGACACACACACACACACACACACACACAGGAAGACACAGACAGACACATACACACAGAGAAACAGAAAGAGACACACACACACAGAGAGAAAGAGACACAAACAAAAACACACACACACAGACAAGGAGACAGACACAGAGAAACAGAGACACACACTAAATGTAATACTGAGAGTATGACTGCTCTGTAATGGACTTTTTAAACACATTTCCCTTTTTTTCATATGATTCAAAATGTTTTTAATCCTGGGTTTTCCCGTTTCCACAGCAGCAGGAAACGTGGTCCATCATTTGCCTGCGAGTCGCTCTCACCCGGACCATGTTAGTCACTCATTTGAATAATGGAAAGTGCAATAACAGGTCCTAGAGATGAAGAAACTGTGACTGTCAACACTGGGTCAACATTACAGACACAAAGTCCACCTCAGCCCCTGACACAGAGACTGCAGCGACGTAACCATCAAACCAGGATCTGTACACCATGTGGACCTGGTCTTTAGGTTAAGCAGACCTCAAACTCAAGGTCATAGGATTGAACCAGTGTTACCAAACTGTGTGCCTTCAAAGAGTTCTGTCTATATTTCATAAATGCATTGAATTCAGTCGGGTCAGAGCATGGATCTATAATATAGATTGATTATTACTAGCTTACAGCTGTCCCACCAATGGCCACAGGGGGCGCCCGTGGTACTGCAGACTAAATTCACGTGGGCTACCCAGATATTTTCCCCATAGAACTCAATGTAAACTAAAACAGCTCGACCTCAGCTGACAGAGAACCTACAGCTTTCAAAAAGGTCGGATTTTAGTGTCCCTTGTTGTCCTGAAAAATGTTTCTAGGGAAGAGGGGAAGAACTACATTAAACTAATATGAAGGTGAGAACAATTCTAAATGTATAATACCTAGGAAGATGCAAATAAGAGGGTGTGGATGTAAAAGTGAGATTGAAGCCTGGTGTTCTTTGGAGGTTATTGCGATAAGGTGAATTCCTTATTGCTAACAGAACTTTGTGGAACCCATTCAAACAAAAGTAGAGAGATCTGCCTCAAGACACAACATTCACTTTTCCAGCTGATCCAAGGTCTCCCATCCAGGTTCAAACCAAACCCATCCCTGCTTAGCTTCACTGAGCGGTGGTTTCTCCAGTACCTGTGCAGAGGCGGAGGGGAAGCTGACTCCCTCCTCCTTCAGGGACTTGATGGTGGCGGGGATCAGGCTGAGCTGGGGGTCTTTCTGGAACTCCTCACACCACTCCACCATCAGAGACTTCAGCTTCTCGCCCACTTTGGGATGAGCCTGAACACAAAACACAAAATTACTTTATTACTTATTTAAAATGACTTTAGATGTGATTTTGCGAATACATTTTAATTATAAAAAGTGACTGGTCTGCTTTAGGTAAAGAGTTTGTGTATTTTTAGACCCAAAAAATCTGTTCTGATTAGATGAAGACAGATCCAACAAATGGTTCAGAATATAATCATTTGACTAAATATTACAGTTATGCAAGGACGTATGCAATACATACAGTGCCCTGCGAAAGTATTCGGCCCCCTTGAACCTTTCAACATTCAACAACAAGTGGGACACAATCGTGAAGTGGAACAAAATGTATTGGATAATTTAAACTTTTTTAACAAATAAAAAACTGAAAAGTGGGGCGTGCAATATTATTCAGCCCCCTTGCGCTAATACTTTGTAGCACCACCTTTTGGTGCAATTACAGCTGCAAGTCGCTTGGGGTATGTCTCTATCAGTTTTGCACATCGAGAGACTGGAATTCTTGCCCATTCTTCCCTGCAAAACAGCTCGAGCTCAGTGAGGTTGGATGGAGAGCGTTTGTGAACAGCAGTCTTCAGCTCTTTCCACAGATTCTCGATTGGTTTCAGGTCTGGACTTTGACTTGGCCATTCTAACACCTGGATACGTCTATTTGTGAACCATTCCATTGTAGATTTGGCTTTATGTTTTGGATCATTGTCCTGTTGGAAGATAAATCTCCGTCCCAGCCTCAGGTCTTTTGCAGACTCCAACAGGTTTTCTTCCAGAATGGTCCTGTCTTTGGCTCCATCCATCTTCCCATCAATTTTAGCCATCTTCCCTGTCCCTGCTGAAGAAAAGCAGGCCCAAAGCATGATGCTGCCACCACCATGTTTGACAGTGGGGATGGTGTGTTCAGGGTGATGAGCTGTGTTGCTTTTACGCCAAACATATCGTTTTGCATTGTGGCCAAAAAGTTCGATTTTGGTTTCATCTGAGCAGAGCACCTTCTTCCACATGTTTGGTGTGTCTCCCAGGTGGCTTGTGGCAAACTTAAAACGAGACTTTTTATGGATATCTTTGAGAAATGACTTTCTTCTTGCCACTCTTCCATAAAGGCCAGATTTGTGCAGTGCCCGACTGATTTTTGTCCTATGGACAGACTCTCCCACCTCAGCTGTAGTTATCCGGAGTTCATCCAGAGTGATCATGGGCCTCTTGGCTGCATCTCTGATCAGTCTTCTCCTTGTTTGAGATGAAAGTTTGGAGGGACGGCCGGGTCTTGGTAGATTTGCAGTGGTCTGATACTCCTTCCATTTCAATATAATTGCTTGCACAGTGCTCATTGAGATGGTTAAAGCTTGGGAAATCTTTTTGTATCCAAATCCGGCTTTAAACTTCTCCACAACAGTATCTCGGACCTGCCTGGTGTGTTCCTTTGTCTTCATGGTTCTCTCTGCACTTTAAACAGAACCCTGAGACTATCAAAGAGCAGGTGCATTTATACGGAGACTTGATTACACACAGGTGCATTCTATTTATCATCATCAGTCATTTAGGACAACATTGGATCATTCAAAGATCCTCACTTAACTACTGGAGTGAGTTTGCGGCACTGAAAGTAAAGGGGCCGAATAATATTGCACGCCCCACTTTTCAGTTTTTTATTTGTTAAAAAAGTTTCAATTATCAAATAAATTTTGTTCCACTTCACGATTGTGACCCACTTGTTGTTGATTCATGACAAAAAATTTAAATTTTATATCCTTATGTTTGAAGCCTGAAATGTGGCGAAATGTTGAAAGGTTCAAGGGGGCCGAATACTTTCGCAAGGCACTGCATAAGGAGCAACCAGAGAGACTAGAGAAAGAGAGAGAGACAAGAGCTCAGAGAGACCATAGAGACTAGGAGAGCAGAGAGAGAAAGGCTAGAGAGAGACCAGAGAGGGACTAGAAAGAGAAAGACCAGAGAGAAAGAGGCGAGAGAGATCAGAGAGACACCAGAGAGAGACCAGAGAGAGACCAGAGAGAGAGACCAGAGAGAGAGACCAGAGAGAGACCAGAGAGAGACCAGAGAGAGAGACCAGAGAGAGAGACTAGAGAGAGATCAGAGACCACAGAGACACAAGAGAGAGATCAGAGACCAGAGAGACACAAGAGAGAGAGAGATCAGAGAAAGAGCAGATAGAAAGACTAGAGGGACTAGAGTGAAAGTGATCAGAGATAGAGACCAGAGAGAGAGACCAGAGAGAGAGACTAGAGAGACCAGAGCCACCAGAGGGAGAAACTAGAGAGATAGATTGGATGAGAGTACACAGTCTTCCGGACCTTGTTCAGGACACTTCGGACTTCACTGGCAAACTCTCTGGAGCAGACTTCGAGGTGAAATATTTTGCCGCAGTTTGCCACACAGGCCCCCAACAACTGCACGGGAAAAACACATGATACATGAGTACAAACTGAGATGAAAAATACACATCAACAACTCAACCTTCATTTTAGACTCAAACCAGATCTAAACAGAAATAGAAACAAGAAACACTGACTTACATTTAGAGCCTGCATTGCAACATGGGGCACTTTGTGGTTGACTCTTTTCATGATCGATCTCAGGCTGTCTTTTGCTCTGAAAGAAACAAACACACAATAAGTCAAAGATAACCTATGATTAATGTATTGTTATTGTTTATTTGGTTAGCACAGTGCATGTTAATGAACACACCAATCAATAATCATTTTTATACCATGGTGTGTGCAGTGGCGGAGCCAGAGGGGCAGCCAGGGTGGCCACTGCCACCTCTAAAAATACCCACGGTTTCCACGGTCTGTGAACGCACCCTGACTCCGTGTGGAGCATGGATCTATTATAAGGTGTGGAGCCGGTGCTGTATGCTAATACAATACAATACACAATACAATACAATTTATTCTTGTATAGCCCTAGGTCACAACAGAAGTCATCTCAGAGACTTAACAAAACCATTGAAATCACCAACACAGGTCAGAGAATCAACAGTTAAAACACATGAAGAATATAAAGCACCCACAGAAGAAAATGTCCATACATGTTGTAGAATGCTAAAGTGTCCTGATCATCACCAATCCTTTCTGTTGGACACTAACTGTCCAACAAGACCCTCCTGCATCGACAAGGGAAAACTAATGCTTTTCATCAGTAACTTGTTGAACTCACATGTGCCCAAGTTGTGATGAAAACAAAGGGGTAAGTTAGCGACGCAGAGCCAACCGTTTACATTTGACATATGGAGTATAGACACCGCATTACTTGTTCACTTTGTAGTACTTTTAGTGTGTGTGTGTGTGTGCGTATGTTTCCGCGTGCTTGTGTGTGTGCCTGCGTGCCTGTGTGCGTGCCTGTGTGTGTGCCTGCGTGTGCGTGCCTGCGTTTGTGTGCGGGTGTGCATGCGTGTGTATTCTCCATTATTAATTGCACATTGTATCATTGCCCTCTTCCCTTTAGTGTTAACGTGAAAAGAAAAGGAGGAGACATTGCGTCTTTTTTTGTAAAGAAAAGGCCTGTAGATCAGGATGATGAAACCTGAAGGTCAGACTCGGAGGCAGTATGTTTTGAGAATGTTCATGATGAGGAATTTGTTGTGTTGTATTAAAATATAGCTTATATAATTCAGTGTCAGAGAATGAGAGGGAGTCGCAGACAGGTTCTGGATTGTCTATTGGCAGAATTAGAGAGGTGTTTTTCTCAACAAAAAAAAGATTTTGGATGGAGTGCAGTCGCTTGACCCCAAATTTTTTTTGAAAGAAGTGCCCCTGTTTGCATTTGGCAGAACCGTTGAGTCAGATATAGAGTAAGTAACAGTAAGTAATTAATCTTTATCTATATACCGCCTTTTCACTGCAGATCAGAGTCTCACAGAGGTTTACAATTGTTATTTTTGGGCATTTGTCTCTCACTCCACACAGAGATGGGAGCGGGGCCAGTACAGGAGGCGCATGCCAGACCTATTGTACATGTTTTTTGTGGTAGGGGAAACCGGAGTACCTGGAGGAAACCTACGCAGACACGGGGAGAACATGCAAACACCACTCAGAAAGGCTCTGGTCCGACCGGGATTCGAACCCAGGACCTTCTTGCTGAGAGGCGAGAGTGCTCAGCGGTGGCTGAGTGGATAGAGGACCTTAAGCATGAGGTACATCAAACTAGGCGGCTTCTTGGGAGGATAAAATGGATTAGAGAGTCCCTATTGGACTTCCTTGTATTTTTGGAACGTTTGGAAAGTGTTTTTATGAGCTTTTGAGGCTTGCAAAGATATCTTTTTTAAATACCTGTCAGTACTGCATCTTGTGAAAGAAGTTTCTCTACCCTAAAACTTATTAAAAACCATCTCAGAACTACCATGGCATGTTGGTATCCTCAGTGTAGAGTCAAAGAGGGCTAAGGGGCTAAATATGGATGAGTTTATCAACATCTTTGCTGCTTTACACCAGAACCGCAGGAATTTGCTTTGCTGTTATCCTGTAAGAAAAGTTGCCTAAATTTGCTGAAAGAAAAAAGGAATGCAATGTTTGATAGACTACTGTTTAAATACACTTTTTTGCTTTGTAGTTTCCAAGTGTGCACTCAGTTCACTTTATATAAAGAATAAAGATAAGATTAAGATTAAAAAGTATCATTTAGCCAGTTTTTGTGTGAAATAAATTTCTGAATAGTATAAATGTAGACCCCTTAAAAAAAACCTTGCCACCCCCTGGCCACCCTCTTTTTAAAAGTCTGGCTCCGCCACTGGGTGTGTGAGAATTCCAACGCTAACTGCTGCGCATTATTTTCGTAAACCTGCACAAGTAGCTACGGTAAGTTTAAAATCATGCTCTATCATGCTCGCCACAGCTGTTGCCATAGGAACTGCAACAGCTGGATCAAATAAACTGTCAATTTGGTGATAAGCCATAGCGACTAATCGCGCCGGAAAACATGGATTTTGAGGTGAATTTTAACATTTTTGGACGACACAAAACCTTTTGAGGAATGGGAAGAAGAGGAGAACCAAGAAGACGAACAACAAAAGCAATGGGTCTGTGTAAATGTAAATGTTTTGTCTGAGTGTTAAAAAAGTAGTTCCCATTTCTCTTTACAACGGTTGTTAAGGCAAATTTTTTTTTCAGAATAATCCCTAAACTTAAGCATATTTGGTCAGTTCAGTAAAGTCAATAAACATTTGTTACACATTTAAATTCACGGGAGCCTGGTATAAGCGGATTAAACAACTCTGCGTCAACAGTATAATGCACGGCTACTCGTTGATTAATACTTAAAGGACGACTAAACCCCAGTGCCAGGCCTGACCCCGCCCACATGAATGCTTGAAAATTCTCTCTAAAAGGGTGTTCCCGAGGACCAGGGGACAAGAAGGGGAGGGGGCTTAGAGTTGGGCGTGGTCAAATAATGCTTTAAGCCAGGCAGTTGTCATTTCTGCTTAAAGCAATAGTTTACACACCAGAAAGTCTCAGTCCACCTTTGTTTACACACTAAGATAATTGTAGCTACTCACCTGAGCTGAAGCCACAAAATGATCTCAGTAGCAGTGGTAGCGGTCAACTGATGTCATTTAATTTTAAACCACTAGATGTCGCCAGAATACTCCCAACTCACTACTGGGGCGTGTGTGAGACTTGGTTGCTTTTATACCACAGGAGCAGAGCAACGTCACGCAGCACAAAGTGATGTCACACTGCCCTCCAGAGCCAATGGAGAGGCCAGGACCAAACTCAAATGTAGAGCCATCGACAATGTAGAGAGGGCGCCACACAGACAGTTTTAGGCTCAAAAGTGAGATTTTATATAATTTGCACTAAAATGTCCAAGAATTGAAATGTAGAGAGCACTACAAGAAGCATTTCTGCAGTTAAAAAAAGTTGATTTGGGGTTTAGTTTCTCACCCATTTGGTGTCGATCCAATTCTGTCACATATGTCCATGATGAGGCCCCAGTCGTCTGTTGTGTTTGTTTCATTCGTTACCTTTTCTGCAATAGATAGAAACAACAATTAGGGAAAGGGACAGGCAAATTTCAATGACATTTCATTTTGTGCAGACTTTACAAAGTTGTCGATTCACCAACACGGATCGGAGAATCAAACCGTTTGCACACAGGAAATGCAATAATAACAAACACATAGGAGCCATTGATCTACAGAGAGCAGATGACCAATGACCATAAATGGTGATAAATGGTGATAAATGTCCATAAGTAAGTAAGTAAGTAATCTTTATTTATATACCGCCTTTCACAGACCAGAGTCACAAAGCGGTTTACAATGGTTATTTTTAAAATAAACTTCAGTCCACTTTTAGGAATGCCGAAAGGTTTATTTAATGACAGAAAATAAAATAGTTCCCAAAGGCTTTCCAGTGGCTATGCTAGCAACAGTTAGGCTGGCAACTTCCAAACTAGAGCTCTCTGGAACTGCATAAAAACTGAACAAAGAATTCTGAACATCAGCGGTGAGTGACCCAAACATAAACTTTACCTAAATCGTTAATTCGATCCTCTGCAAATGTTCCTAAAATGTCCCAGAATCTACTTCCAGGTTTTTCGGGATCGCCTTTTCTCGCATTACATCAGTGTTTTTGTCATGAAAACGGAAGCAGAAAATTCTGAAAACTTCCGTGCACTTGTATTAAGAATGTATATGTATAATGTACTCTCCAATTAACATTTAATTGCGTTTATTGAGCGTGAAAAGTGGCCGGAACTACTTCCGGCAGGACGAGGACCTAGACCCGGTGGTGGAAGCTCAAGTTGAAGTGATGGGCCGATAATAAAGAGCGATGTTCTCCTGATGAAGTAGTGACGGGGAGGAGGAGGGTTGCTGCGTGAGCTGAAAGCTTGGTGTTTAATTTCCGGTGTTGATTACCGGCTCTAGGGGCGACAGTAGCTCAGGTGGTAGAGCATCGGCCTTAAGGCCAGAAGGTCGTGGGTTCAATTCCCACCTCTGCACCTTCTCCACCGACTCCCACTGATGACTGCTGTCGTTGTGTCCTTGGGCAAGACACTTAACCCCACTTTGCCCAAAGCCCCCACTGAAAGATCAAGGCTATGCTCACACTCAGAGAGCAGCCGTCCTCCTGTGGACTCACCACCTGCAGAGGGTCAGTGAGGGGCTGGTGCTATGAGACTTGGGTGGCATCTCTGACTGCCACCCCCCTGACCCAGAAATGGATTAAGGGTAGAAAATGGATGGATGGATGGGATGGATGGATTACCGGCTCCACCCTCATATATTTCACCTGTGTCTCTGTTTGTTTATCCCCTGTATCCTCCATTGTCTTTTCCAAAGTTTTTTGTTTGAAGTTTTGTGTTTGATTACTACATTATAACTCTCATATTGTTTGCCGTCGTGCACAATTTGAGTGATTTCATTTTAAACCAGGACAAAGTACAGGACTGTTTAAAATGCAGCCGGTGAAAGCACATACTGTTCAGAGGCACTGGTGAGTAGATGTAAGGGATATATATATTAACTCATTGTGTCCCATTGACGCACAAATACGTCAAAGCAAATAGTAACGTCATGTGCCATTGACGCATTAATCCGTCAATTGCCTTTTTTGCTATTTTCACGTTCCCAGATGTCTATTGTATCTAATATGTATGGGGATGACTTGAGACCATATTTTATCGAGCCAGCAGGTGGCAGCATTTCTCTCTGAATGGTTTGAAAACATGTAGGTGCCAATGTTGTGCCTCTTTTTTCTCAACTTTCTGGTGATTTCTGGTGATTTCAGTAAAACTTCCCTCTACTCGACGGAGGATTACAGGGGAACAAAAAAAGCTATAAACAAAATTCTTTTTGCTGAGGAAAGTAGACATTCCATTCTTTTAGAATCTGGTGTCGGATTTCAGATAGTCATAGTACACAATATTCTGTGGGTCTTGAAAAATCAGTAAAAATCATCAGAAATGGCTGGCACTGTGGGAGTACCTGTTCTGAAATAGGCTGGCATTCAATGAGTTAAAAAGTTTGTAATTGATTTCCTATTGAGCATACATGTCGTTAGAGAGATGTATGTGTGGATTTCATTAAATTCAGGTAAACATATGTATAAAGCATGTAATGATTGTGAGGAGAACCCAAGAAGAAAAGCCAATGCACCTCAGTGGCTAATGGGGATCTTAAAACAAAAAACTAAAACAAATCAAAGCCAGAGATAGTTCAGTCTTCAGTCCAAACCTTTGCTATAGCTCTGCTTATGTTTTGTTTTAAGGTACACGTTGTGCTGTTTGTGCCTGTAAGAGGAAGATGAAATACTTGCTTCCTATGTGCTCAGTGTCTCGAGATCATTGCCACATTCTGACCCACAAACCAGCTTTATGTTGATGAAGAAGATGACATGTCTGGGATCGCGTCTTTCATTCAGACAGAAGACATGTTTTATTGTCGATGGTAGAGACAGCACGAACAACACGAACACAGATACAACAGAATGCAAGTGTATTATACAGAGCTGAGGCATGGAGACCTCCAATCAGCAGCTGCCACAGTGCCATGTAGCTTGGCCTTCAGATAGACAAAACAAGGGAAAAGTACTGGCTTCTGCACATTGATAGAATGATGAGTTTAACTTTAATAAAAGTTGCTTAAAAGTGTTATGAAATCTCACATTTCCCCCTCTGGTCACACATTTGCATGTGACCATCAGGATCGATAAACAGCAACATAACATCATAACTCAATACTTAAACTCGGTACTTCACTCGGTACTTCAAAAAACTCAGAACTCGGAATACTTCAAAAACTCATAAAACATGTTCAGATCTTTCAAAAAACTTGTCAACAATCTTCAGTAAAATACCAAACTTTGACTTTAGCCAGGCCAAAACTATCTGGGTTTGTTCACACTAAACACTGAAGTTTGTTTTCAGATCCACATTTGATTAAAATAATCTTTTTTTTTTTTAAGTAGAAACAAATTGATTACTTTCATAATAAACCAATTCAATGTGAAACCAGACCGTCTTTTTTTTCCTTTGTTTTTCATTTCTTTTTAATTGTTAGAATTTTTTTTACAAAAATCACGTACATTTTTATTGATCAATTATCAAAAATGATTATATTGAAAATGAAGTGATTTCCTGATGTTGTGTTAATGTGAATCTGTGGAGTTCATCTTTGTCTCTGAGTCACAGTAAAATGATCCAATCAGAGGCTGAGCTGGTCTTTTTAAATTTAGCCAAAAATATATTTGTCAATCTTAGTTTTATTTCAACCACACTATCTTTTTGATCTGTCTGTGTTCGAAATCTTTTTTTTTCTAATCTATGATAGTAATTTTAATTTTTGAGTTAGAACCTTTTAAAGTCCAGATACTTTAATTAACACTTTATTGTGAACACACCCACGTAACTGAAGCAGGAAACTAAAGCCAATCATACTTATCTATGAGACAAAATACCAAACTATGAAATGGTTTTGGGGAAGATGTTATATTTCTACATAGTATTTCTACACTGTTTGTTTATGTGAGTGTGAAATGGAACTTAAGAATGTGCCACATGGTCTTTGATTTGATCATGAATAACCAGTCACATCATCAACAAAGATGGAAAACAACAGCTTCGCACACACGATTTCATGAGACTGTTTTGAATTGGGTTAAAAGCTCTTTGAGAAGCTATAGCAATCTACATTTACGTCAACAATACGTGAATGTGAAAATCAAACATGTGAAGAAAATGTCATTCTTGTGCAAATTGTTGTCTCACAAACAATTCCATGTTTAACTTAAATATCACAAAAGCCGAGGTACAGAGGCACTATTTTCAGACACTGAGACATGCCCAGTCATGTGACCATGTTTGAGTACGTGTGGTGGTGAGTAAGAAAAGGGATCCAGTAAAGTGAGGTAACCAAAGGAAGGACAAGTCATGATGTATATGACAGTTAAAAAAATATCGTAAAAAAGGCAAATGTTCAGGAAAGGTCGAGATTTAGAACAGAATCATTGTTATGTATGTGTAAAAACCATAGACTGTAAATATTAACAGACATAGTGACGCCTATCTACGCCGCTGAAACTAATGTGCCACCACTTGCCTTCCGTGGGGCTTTTTCAAAATGGTTGCCAGGCAGGAAAATGTGAAAAAACACATTTGCGTTAGCCGGCACTAGCCTCACTCATTTAACAAGTGCATTTAAAAGTCCTCAGTGGCTAAACTAGACTGGTCCACAAATACTGCGTTGAGCCAAGAGCGACTTTTGGACCATCCTTTAAAAGACGTTTGAGAGAGAAAAGACGCCATACAAAAGCATTGGGTAATTCTCTTTCCGGGTACACCCCCACAGGCCCAGAGTGAGATTGCAGCATGTCACCGCACGTGCTCATCGATCTTTTTGGAGCTGGGACTCACTGGTTATAACGAGTGGACAGTCAATCAGAATTCGGTTACCACTTACAAGTAAAATTGAGGGAGACGCAAGAGAGATTATTCTTGGGCAAATTGAATATTATTATTTTAATTCATACACAAAGCTCTTTACAACGTTTTGGACCAATATTTTTTTCTATTCTCTCCACAAACAGTGATGACAGAAGCAAGACCCAAAAGACTCTGGCATCAAAACCTCCAACCATCTCATTACATTCAGACCCATCATACATGTTTCAGTGGTAGGGGAAACCGGAGCACCAGGAGGAAACCTACAGATATCGAGATAACATGCAAACTCCACAAAGAAAGGCCCTCTCTGGAGGTGGGATTGAGTCCAGAATAGCTGTGAAATACAAGCGCTTGAACACCTCCCCCACAATGTTTCCATTCGTGTTCTGAAAAGTTTGAATACAAGATGAGTCCCACAGTGGGGAAATTTCAATGTCATCGCTGCACATTACAGCAGAAATGAAGGAGGAATAAGTCAGAAATAAGAGCACTCAGATTGTACACATCAAACTGGGTCTATTATTTAAGATAATAGATATAACATGAGAAGTAATAAGATGGTAAAAAAGGGTAAAATAAAATACAAATCTGGAGCTATAATTGCAGTGGTTCAGAGCTATTTACAGATTGTACTTTAGCAGCAGAGAATATGAGTAGAATAAACATCATCAGCAGGTAAAGTGACAAGTAAATGACGGAAATATCAGCTGAGTGGAAATGTAATAATGCAGTAATAATAATAATAATAATAACGGCATAATAGGTGAAGTAAGTTATGTTTATTTATTTATATAGCGCCTTTCACAGACCAGAGTCACAAAGCGCTTTATAACTGTGGGCATTTGTCTCTCACTCCTCACAGAGAGCGAGGTCGCCGAACAGGAGGTGCACGCCAGACCTATTGTACATGCTTTTAGTGGTAGGGGAAACCGAAACACCCGGAGGAAACCTACGCAGGCACGGGGAGAACATGCAAACTCCACTCAGAGAGGCCCTGTTCCAACCGGGTAAAGTGACTAGTGAATAATTATGAGAGCAGGTGAGTGACACTTGTAGAGACTCAGCAGTTCTCGTTGTACAATATCATGGAGGGATGTCAAAGTCAATTACAACAGGAGCCAAAAAAAACAAATTTGCAACAAGCCGAGGGCCGGACTGGTTCAATGTTGCATATAAACTATTGAACCAAGACCTCACACAGTGGACTGTATTTTTATAATGATTAAATGAACAATCCAATATTTTTGTATGGCTCTGTCTGTACAAGTTTCAGCAGATCACAGACAAAAACAAACTTCTTTCAAAGAGAAAACACACGTCCTGAAAAGTAAATGAATAATCCAATATTTTCTTATGGCTCTATGCGGCCGGTTCTAACACTAATCAAATATCATCCAGGGGCCAAGACAATTGATTCGCGGGCCGCATCTCGCCCCCGGGCCTTGAGTTTGACACCAATGAACTATCCTTGTCTACTCAGATGTAATGTTTAATTCATGATCTCCTGGAATTTGGTTCAAACTCAAAAATAAATTTCCTTTTTTCAGTTTATAATCATTACCTTACACTATTTACAGAATTTACAAGAACATCGAATTACGACCGTTTAGACAAACATTGCGATTACGAGATTTGAGATATGACGGTAAGGGAAAGTACAAAGTTCACATTGATAATTCATGTTTGAGAGAAAATGAAAACATGAAACAATATACTTAGGATAAAAGCCAGGGTACCATACATCATTGTTCCATAAATGATCAACGTTGATTCTCAGAACAGAGAGAGTCTTAACGTTAAGATGTTGTGAAGAGTAAATGTCATCCAAATAATCATAACAATCTTTGCAATTCACTAATTGCCGACACAAAAATCGATTTGGATTCGATCGCAATTAATCGTGCAGCCCGAGGCACGAGGGCAGATGACATAATGTTCATATTTGTTCAGCAAAAACATTGGGTTTTAAATGCCCAGCAATGCTCCTGTGTATTAATGAAGTCTTATACATCTGTAATGTGTGCGTGTTTCTAAAAGGGGAAGATAATAACCAGAACACATAGCACGCGCACGTATATTTGATAAAAAACTGACAATGACTTCTATTGTAGAACAAACTACAGCAGCGACCAAACTCATGCTAAGCTAATGTTAGCTCCTGTTGCCTCATCGGAGCAGCCTTCAGCACAAAAATCACAAAAAACAACTTCTCACTTACCGACATCTTGGTCAAATGGGTTTTGGGTAAATAAAGGCATCTTGAAAGCCCAGAGAAACACTAACTATGTGACTGTTAGTGATAAAAATGAAGCGTCTACACAATAAACAAACTGGTCTTCCGGGTTGACTGAGCACAGCGCTTCCTGATTCTTGGTTGCCTTGGATATCGCCTGAAAAATTATATGTCATAATATAATATAAGCTGAACACACAAACATAATTTATTTATATTTATTTCATACTAAAGACAGCAAATGTGTATACATATAATACACCTGGAGGTATTTTGGATCTCATTTATATATTTATACATTTTTTACTGAGACGATTTCTCAGCTACGTCAATGGTAAAATGCTGCTATCTTGTGGCCATAAATAAGTAAGCAGATTTCCTGTTAGTAAAGCTTGATACATTTTAAAAGGAATTAATAAAAAGTTATGTATTTGTGTTGATATGAATAAAAAGGTACAAACGGGAGAAAAAACTCCCTTAATGTACATCCTTATTTGATCAAATGAAAGACACTTGAAAACACATTTTTTTATTTGTGTGACTGTATCTTGTTTTTTTTGGAACTTTGAGTTGTATGAACCGGTGTGAACAAACTTCTGTAGCCTCGCCTTACTGCGGAACTAAATCAGATTCACAAATCAATCCTCTCTCTCTCTCTCTCTAAATTTTATGCTAACGATGGACCCCAGACTTATTTCATTATGTTTCTGTTTTTATATCTTGTGTAAAGATACTGCTTTGTAAATAGTTTGCATAATGAGCAACCTTGTATTGTACGCAAACGGAAAAATAAAAGTGTTTTAAAAAATAAATAAATAAACAAAACGATGTTGCCCATTTCCGGTTAATCTTCGGCGCTTCACTTCCGGATTCCGCTCCTGTCATCCTCCATCCAGAAACAGCAGCAGCAGCACCCACAGAGGCACCCACAGAGGCACCCACAGACGCTCAGGGCTGTAGCAGACATGTCGGCGGCTGCTTCGGGCACCAGTAGAGCGGCTCAAGGCTCTGATGTGGCCCAGAAGAAGCGCAGGGGACCGGGCGCATTGGCCACGGCTTATCTGGTCATTTACAACGTGGTGATGACAGCGGGGTGAGTGAACTGGCGTGTATGTGTGCATGTGTATGAATGGAGCTAGCCTTGTTCCCACAACAGTAAAGATAGATGCTGCAAGGATTCTGCAAATGCATGACTATTTTCATTGCGATTGTTTGTTAATGTATCTTGTTGGCATCCTGGTCGTAGACCTATTTGTATGGAGAAGCTAGTTATTATTACGTGTACAAAATATGTCAAGATTACTGGAGAGATCTCAAGCTTATTTAATGCTAGCAAAGCCTAAATGTACCCTTTCAAATGATGTTCAATTGTTTAAATCCTCCCAGACCTATTATGCTATTGTAAACAGAGACTTACACATCTTTGGTGGCAGTTTAGAGATTAGATGCTGAGATGATCCGCTGAGGCACTTACTTGTGTTTTGATGCACCCCCATTGCAGTGCAGACAGAATTATGTTTAATGAAGCATCTTGTCTATTGTTGTATTGTTCGACATAATCCAGTGCCATGCATTTTCAAACATATGGCTGTTTGAATGGAGAAAAGGCAGCGTGACAATGTGAAAAGCCCTATAAATATTATATAGAGTACTTGCATTACTTTATAATTATGTTACCTGCAAATTAAAGAAGGAGATACATTTTAGATACTTGTATTATTTCTTTTATTAAAATCAAGGATGGATGTTTTTGGCTTGCTTGAGCGATAAGACCACCAGTGTCTGTCTCGAATGAGGAAATGACGGTAAACAGAAATATCTTTTTCAGATATCAGACAAATCAAGTCATCATTTGATATGTGAGGTGGCTGTCCTCTCGCTCTCTTAGCTTAAAGGTATACAAGAGGATTTTCTACTTCTATTGGTCTAATTATCAATTATTCTGAAAGGTGCTCGTCCAATAAGACAAGAGAGTTTTGCTCAAAAAGTGGGGAGGGCGGTTATGTCCTAAAATTTGGGAAAATCCACCTATAAACCACCAGTTTGTTATTTTAAATGATCTGTGTGACCCATGATATTGTCCCGCACACAGATTTTTTTTGCCCATCTCTCAGCTGGCCATGGCTGCACCAAACAATAGAGATCATGTTTTGGATGAATTAATTATAATCGATAATTTTCTCATAGTGCACAAGTCAGATTTCTATAACGGTGACAACAAGTTAGAACTTTGTTACAATATTCTATTTTTTGAGCTGTGCTTGTATCATTTTAACCTTTTTTGCTTTCTAATAAATGTTCTCTATCTAATATCTAGTTTGTGACACTTTGTGAGGATTAGATAGCGATTTGGCCTACGTGCAGGACAAGCACAAGACTATACAAGGACTCTGATGCATCCATGTTTTGACTATGATATACACGTGACTGTCTCTGTGTGACACGTCTTTCCATGTGTGACTTGACAATGACTATATAAACTGTGTACTGCCTTTCTTCTGTCTGAGAGAAATAAACAATTGAAACCACTGGAACTTGAGAGAAACTAAAATACACGTCCAGAGTTTGGCGCACCACGATCCGTCTCTGTCTGGTTCATTCCTGACAGATTTGCCGGAGGTTCATTCCTGACAACTTCCAAAGGTGGTTCTAACTGAAGTAATACTTAAGTTAATTCAATTTATTCCTGTATAGCCCTAAATCATCTCAGAGACTTAACAAAACCATTGAAATCACCAACACAGATCAGAGAATCAACGGTTAAGACACACATAAATATAGAACGCATATGTATTGGTCCATGAATGTTGTTAAATTTTGTAGAATGTACAGTGTCCTGGATCATCACCGCAGTTATTGTTATATTTGACAATCAATGCAAATCCTGTCCAAGCTGGTTCAGTGTAACTTGCTTTAAAATGAAGGGGGAAAGTTCCAACCATATTTAAGATAACTATTGCTGAGTTAATAACACACAGCCCATATCATCTTGATACTGTGACTTATCTTGAGTCTAACCCTAGACCCTGGATCAGTTCACTTTATGGCTGTAGTTTCTTGAATATTGCACAACTCAATGGTGTGTGTTGTTTGTTCGCTGTTGGACCAGTTGGATCACATTGTGTGTCTCTCCTGACGGGGATAGACTGAGCTTTGTGCCACTTCTGTGCACTCCCCCTGTTTCCATCCAAACGCCAGTTCAGTAGAAGAAAAAAAAAAAAACTTGTAGAGTGTGTGTCCAGTAGTGCTTCATGTAAAAGAAAGAACTGAAATAAAGTTATCGGCAGAAGATGTGCGTAATAAAGTCATTTTGTTAAAAGATATACTTGTTAAAATGGTATCCTCAAGATATTTGAGCTGTAAAGTCACTAATACTATTATAAGTTACAATATTATCATGTGTGAATTATACATAATCTCTCCACTCTCTCTCTCTAGTCTTTCTCTGATCTGTTTTTTCTTGTTTCTCTCTTGCTCTGGTCTCTCTGGGTCTCTCTCTTGCTCTCTCCCTGTCTCTCTCTCTCTCTCTTGGCCTCTCTCTCTCTCTTGGTCTCTCTAATCTCACTCTGGTCTCTCTCTCTCTAGTCTCTTTGGTCTCTGCTCTCTGGTATCTTTTGCTTCTCTCTCTGGTCTCTCTCTCTCTGGTCTCTCCCTCTGGTCTCTCCCTCTGGTCTCTGTTATAGAATTATATACCCCATGAAGGAGAAAACTCAAAGGTCCTTTGTCTGATCAAAAGCGTAAGTTTATTGTTAACGCACAGTGCGGAGAGCCAGCACATACACTCCAAAAGCAGCATGTCCCAGCTCTGGGGGCCAGAGCCCCGAGCTTCCTGTATACAAGACACACACCAAAGATAGTCACGCCCACAACGGAGCGGAGGGGGCCACCGGTGAGGAGGCGCACAGGAAGCGCCGGCGCTATCCCCTGTGGTGGCAGTGGCATGGGGTGTGAACAGACAGACAATGGTGGAAATGCAGGTCATACAGATGCAAGACGGAAAGACACAAGGGTGTGACAGACAGCAGGGACCTTCACAAAGCTCAGCATGGCGTCAGAAGGTCGTCTGCATTGATAAAAGGCCTTTGACGTCCGTGTATTTGCTGCGGCTGGTTTTAATGTAATTACTCCAAAAACTGTCACCACACTCCCCTCTTTTGATAATTCAAAACCATTTTTGCATTAATCAGTTAAATACCAGAGGCATCGTAATCACACCACCTTCAAGCTTGAAACACTTAAATTATTGCTGTCCAAAGTGGACAAGAAAAGACACATGCTTGTCAATAAAAGAAAGAGCACATTATAATAACACAATGGATCCGGACAGCGATAAGAGAAGGCAATATTAACATAATAAACACGGTCAGCACGGAAAGTAGTGTCAGTGTGGCCAGCATAACAGTCCAAGGGCCCATGCCGGTCTACGTTCGGTAGTCTTTTCCGCGGGAATACTCACGAGCAGTGCCGTCTCGCAGTCAGTGGCACCGCTCCCTATGAGCGTGTGTGGAGCGTTAGTGGTCATGGCGATGTTTGGTCTTGGAGCGGCAAGACTCTAATTGCGTTGAAGCCTTGGCCTCAGCACTCGGTTGGGCAGAGTGCTCGGGGTTTGGGGTGTGGAGACCATGGCTTGAGCACGCTCCAGATCGGCCAGGCCCAAAGCTCATTTGATGGGAGCCCTCATGACAGCACGCTTCACCATGTGCCTCATCAGGAACTGTAGAGCAGCCCTCATCTCCACCTCCTCCGGACACACGGGAGACGAGACACCAGGGGGGCACTCCAGCAGAGCTCAAATCTGCATTATGGCCAGAGGGAACAAGCTCTGGAGAAATCTTTGGAATGGGCAGCAGCTCTGCATACTTGCTGCAGCTGAGCAGAGCGCTCAGGGCCTTCATGGCTCCCAAGCCTTGGGATCCGGGGGCTGGGGAGTTGGGCAAAAGGGGGGTCGCCTCGGGAACGCTGGGATTCTCTGGGTGTTGTTGTTGGCCTGCTTCACCGACGGTGGCCGCACGCCGGCCGACTTCTTCATCGTAGGGAGCCGCGGATGGGCCTGGTCCGTCCGCGCCCTCGGTGTCCTCGTCTATGGCCCTCAGTGGCAGCACCGCACGACAGTGGTTGGCGTGGATCCAAGTTGTCCTCTCCGCGACCTTAACGGCAGTGTCCGTCACCAGGAGGGCGAGGAATGGGCCGAGCCAGCGCTTGGACCGCCAGTGCTTTCGTCTCGTTTCCTTCACCAGGACCCAGTCGCCTGCGCAGCCTGTGGCAGGGCGCTCCTGACCTGGGCAGAAATAGAGGACAAAAGTGCATTAATTTCCTTACAATAGGACAGCATGTCGTCATCACACAAAGAGGTGCTTGGCAGATCTCTGTTCGGGGGTCCCTCGCCCAAGTTGGGTGGTCTGGCACAGAGGATTTCGAATGGGACTCTCATGTGCATGTGCATGAGGGCTAGCGGCAGAGCTTTGAGTGCCATTCTCTCGCTCGCACGCGCCTCCGGGCCAGGGGGCGTAACTGCAGTGTTTACGTATATCAATGCCCAGAAATTCACCCACTTCCTCAATGACTTTTGCTACAAAGTGACTGCCAGTGTCACTAGAGATTTTTTCTCGGGGCACAATTTTTGTGAGCAGAGCTTTCACCACCGCGTTGCTTGTGGCGTGTATGCCTGCAAATACTTCAGTCCATTTGGACCAGAGATCCGCCAGAACCAGACAGTATTACTTACCTTGGCATGGTGTGAGTTCAACAAAGTCCCTTTGGACATGTTGAAATGGGCGCAGGGGCGGAGGATGAGCAGCCTGTTGGATACTTTTGGGACTTACCTGGGTTGTGCGCGGGGCATATAGCGCATGTTTGGCTGAATCTCTGCGCAAATGCCGTAAACCCCTTTGTATACCAATTTTGTGTGATTAAATCACACATCATCCCTCCTTTTGAGGCATGGTCTCGACCATGTGCTAAAATTGCAAACTGTCTGAAGAAATGCCGTGGTAGGCACGGTTTGCTGTCTGGTCCCAGCCACACACACCATGCCGTCGTTGAGCCCCATTCCCCTCCCACAGCAGCGTCTCTGCTGGAGTAGAAAATATCAACGTCTTGAGTGAGGTAGTGTGTGTGTGTGTGTGTGTAGAGGTGCGTATGCCGCTGCCTTGTCCGCGCGCCGATTCCCTGCAGAGATGGGATCAGTGGCATTAGTGTGGGCCTGGCATTTGCATACAGCGATCTCTAAGGGCAACATTACAGCTTTCAGCAGACGTTCAACCTGTGTGGAATTAAGAATTGGTTTACCATCAGATTTCATAAAATTGCGGTGTTTCCACAGTGCTTTCCAGTCGTGCACCACAGAGAAACCATAGCGCGTATCACAGAATAGGTTAACAGTTTTGCCCGCTGCCAGCCCCGGTGGGCGCGACCAGCTCAGCGGTTTGTGCTGAGTGGTAGTGGGGCAAACTACCAGAGTCTATAGTATCAAAATCAGAACACACAGCATAGCCGACTCGGTTCTTCCCAGTGTTGTCACGTGACGCGGCTCCGTCTGTATATAAAAAAAAATCAAGTCAGGATTAGTCAGAGGCACCTCTTTCAGGTCTGGCCTGGGAGTGCATATCTGTTCTATTGTGGCGATACAGCAGTGTTCCTCCCCTTCCTCTGGCGTGGGCAGCAGCGAGGAGGAGTTCAGCTGTGTGCATTCCTTCACCGTAGTTCAAAGAGCACCGTGTTGTACCCCAGCCAACGAGCCGCAGAAAGGCGAGAGGCCCTCTGCTCTAACAGGATCAGGGAAACAGCATGGGGCACAAGCAAAGTTAGTTCAGTGTATCCCACAAGGTCACGTGATGCTAGGGCCGCTTTCTCAGCGGCAGCCACAGCCCGCAGGCAGCGAGGCAACCCTGCTGCCACGGGATCGAGTTTTGCTGAGAAGTAAGCAGTGGGTCTCAGTGGCCCTCAGTGAGGCTGCAAAAGTACCGACTGTTCCGTTCATCTCCAGTTGCTTTTCTCCCGGATCGTCCTCAATTCATATTGTGGGCTTTTGTGCCAAAGTGGAGGCTCATTTCCTCCTGATCCATACTACTGTCATCCCTGGAGCAGGGGTAGTTTATCTCTCATCTGAAAAAGAAATATCAGAACACAAAAAAAAAACACAAAAAATGCCCACTTTCGCTTGTCAATCTTTTTCCCAATTGGGCAAAACATAACTGCATTGACAGGTGGTGTGTGGCATCAGGGCGGAGGCTGTAGCCAAATACAGAACAACAAAATGTATGTTTCTAATTTTATACTCCCCTAAATGTGAGTTTACAAACCAAAGTTGTCCTCCGCCCAATGACCGCTCACTGCGGTTGGACCGAATCACTGTCAGGGCAAACAGCAGAGGGAGGAACTCCCAATATCTTCAGCGAGGTATTTCATCTCCGAGTACTTTCCGCAGAGTACTTTTCTCAGAGTACTCATCCCAGAGTACTCTCACTTTTACACCTGTTTAATAAAGGTCGTTATCTTTGAATCTCTAGTACTTACACCGTATGCTGTTGACAAAAAAGAATTATTCCATGATCACATTAAAACATTACAGACACATTTGTTATTCCATTCTCCGTTCAGCATTCCTCATTTCACTCCTTATTTCACACATCACACTCATATCACAGTCACATCACAGGCCGATCCCCACGTTAGTATTGGTCCAGAGTTTGTTAAGGTCAGCGTGGTGTACTTTGACATGACACACAAACATATAACATACACAAAACATATAACACACACAAACATATAACAACACAGAAGGCCTGTACTTTTAACTTTGTTATATTTTTCCATGTCCAATTCCAATTGTCTCATGAGCTATTTCTTATTGTTGCAACTTTCAGAGCCTGCAGAGCTTTAAAAGAGTTTTCCTAAAAGGATCCATTTCCAACTTTAGTGTTTACCACGTGGTCTATACTTCGGGCTTATCACAGATTGTGTCCCCTATATCTCTAATGAGCTCTTGTCACCTAAAAAAATGTTTATTTTCCTTATTTTTTTCTTTTTCAATAAAGCCAGGTCGGATTCATTAAAAATGTAAATTAGTCTCAAACTTTAATACTTCACCTTTGTTTCACGATAAAAATGTTTTTGTTACTCATTAAGTAGCACAGATAGTGGTGCCTATCTCAATAAACGTACTCCGTTAGCCTATCTTCCCTACGCTGCATGAATTTTCAAACTCCAAGTTATTGTCTGGGAACGACCGGAGAGAGCAGCTTAGGTCGTTCGCGTGGTTGACCTCCAAATTTTGTGCGGGCGTCACTATCCACTTGTTGTGGCTAATAACTTAGCAATCTCAGGGTTTGGTGTCAATTTCCAGTGGTAGTTAACTTTTGGGACCGGTGCCTCCTTTTATTTATCTATTTTTAATTGAGTCTGCACATAAGGTCTCGGCCTAGTAGATTAACCGGGCACAATGGGGAATATAGAAAAGAATGTTTAAGCTGGTTGCCCTGAGAATCAAAACACGTTAGCGGTGACGTAAATTGCTCTTTAGTCGTCTCTCCGACGCTGCTAATTAGAATATGAAGCGGCCGCTCATTTTAGGGGAGACAGAAAGGCTGTCACTTTTAGCACAGAATTTGTTGCCCCGGAGTCATCCAGAATTTTAACTTGTACACCACAGGTTGTTAGCGTATATTACGGGCATGAATTATCTCTAAAAAGTGCCAATTGCAATTTGTTGTTGTTCAACTTACATGAGCGGTCGCTTTGGTGACGAATGTGAACCCAGGTTTGGTCAGTCGCTCGTGTTTCCTCCGTGCCCGCCTCTGCCGTCCTCTGGCCCCGTGTGAGCTTGAGAGGCCCTCTGCCTTTAACGCCTCCTCCGGTAACAGTCCTTCGACCCATGTCGAGCACACAGTCTTTCCGCCGGGCTGTGGAAGTTTTGCAAAGTCCGCAGGAGGCCCAGGTAGCCCAAAGCGTTAGCATGTGGTCCATGAGGGTTGGTGAATAACCCAAACGTGCCGGTCACAATGGCTTCTTCTGTTTGCGGTGCGGGAACAACTTTCAAGCGGGTTTACCTTTTATCTAAATTACACACCCTCAATCCCCATATTCTCCCATACCTTTCAAATCTCCTAAACAAACATTTCACCCCCTCTAATACTTATACCCCCACAAATAAACCACTAACAACAACATTATTACAACCATACTTATATACATAAACCTCCACAACAACAACATCTTAAATCAAACCCCAACAAGACAGTGCCCTTTTACACCTGATTATATTCCTCCTCAATATTTCAAGCGGGCGTGGGGCTGGTGCTTTGAGGCAGAGGACAGAGCGCGGAGGAAAGGCGCCGACAGACCTGGATAGGGAAGAGGGGAAAAGAGACAACCCCAAAAATACATAAATAAACAAATCCCCGTGTACACTTAAGTGCTGCCCTGGGCTCGTTACGCAGATGAAAAGACAAGACTCACCAGATTAGGTTCTTTTTGGTCTTGTGTGGCAAAAGGATTCCTTCCGTGCGCGGGACGAGCGCGCCCTCCTTTGTCTCCAAAAAGGAACAGAGGCTGGTGATCCAGGTCGGCCAAACAAAGCCGCTCGTCCCGCCGAAAGTATCCATGCCAAGACATGTCAGCAACGCCAAATTGTTATAGAATTATATACCCCATGAAGGAGAAAACTCAAAGGTCCTTTGTCTGATCAAAAGCGTAAGTTTATTGTTAACGCACAGTGCGGAGAGCCAGCACATACACTCCAAAAGCAGCATGTCCCAGCTCTGGGGGCCAGAGCCCCGAGTTTCCTGTATACAAGACACACACCAAAGATAGTCACGCCCACAACGGAGCGGAGGGGGCCACCGGTGAGGAGGCGCACAGGAAGCGCCGGCGCTATCCCCTGTGGTGGCAGTGGCATGGGGTGTGAACAGACAGACAATGGTGGAAATGCAGGTCATACAGATGCAAGACGGAAAGACACAAGGGTGTGACAGACAGCAGGGACCTTCACAAAGCTCAGCATGGCGTCAGAAGGTCGTCTGCATTGATAAAAGGCCTTTGACGTCCGTGTATTTGCTGCGGCTGGTTTTAATGTAATTACTCCAAAAACTGTCACCACATCTCTCCCTCTCTCTGGTCTCTCTCTCTCTCTGGTCTCTCTCCCTCTGGCCTCTCTCTGGTCTCTCTCTCTGGTCTCTCTCTCTCTGGTCTCTCTCCCTCTGGTCTCTCTCTGGCCTCCATGTATCTGTTTCTGTGTCGCTGTTGCATTGATGCCAAGATTGGTTAAATGTTTACTCTGGATTATTTATTTATGGTGATCCTGGGTTTTATGCTCTAAACATAATCCCATCTCTTTGTGACAATAACAATACAACATTATACATTAAGTCTTGAATCCTGAATCATATATATAATATCTTTCTATTGCTCATAAATTGCATGTCTCCCCTTGAGTGAATAATACAGGCAAAGCTTTTCACTTGTTTCCAGTTATTTTCTGGAATGTAGAGAATTTCAGATTTAGATCCACTAACTTTAGACCATCCCACCTACTTTTGGGTCAACTATGGCAGTCCTGGAGGGACATGCTGTTTATAAACAAACTGAGGAACTGGGTCAAAGCTGAAGCATGGATTTAGGAGGTGCCTTTCTTTATTCAGTTCAATCCATGCCAAAGAAAAAATTATTAAATCACAGCACAGTTTTCTCAGAGGACTTTACAAAATTGTCAATGAGCCAACAGCAGTTAAGAGATTCAAACCATTAGAACACATGCAACAATAAAATAAACACATAGGAGCTATTGGCAGGATGACAACGGTCCATAAATGTCTTGGATTCTTCTGCATCAGCAAAGAACGGCTCAATAAAAACAGAAGGAGAAATAAATCTCTGAGAAGCCAACAGTGAGAGAGGGATCTACTCCAACTAATGCACACACTTTCTGTTTTGTGTTATTACTGCTGTGTCTCGTGGTCGTGGTAGTCGTGGTAGTGGTGGTCTTGGTTGTGGTAGTCTTTGTCGTGGTCTTGGTTGTAGTGGTGGTCATGGTAGTGGCCATAGTTTTTGTAGTGGTGGCTATGGTTGTGGTCGTGGTAGTGGCCATGGTTGTGGATGTGGTCGTGGTGGTTGTGGTGGTCGTGGTAGAGGTCATGGTTGTGGTAGTGGCCATCGTTGTGGTCGTGGTTGTAGTGGTTGTGGTGGTCGTGGTAGAGGTCATGGTTGTGGTAGTGGCCATCGTTGTGGTCGTGGTTGTAGTGGTTGTGGTGGTCGTGGTAGAGGTCATGGTTGTGGTGGTCATGGTTGTGGTCGTGGTCATGGTTGTGGTTGTGGTCGTGGTGGTCATGGTTGTGGTCATGGTGGTCACAGTTGTGGTCGTTGTGGTCGTGGTGGTCATGGTTGTGGTCATGGTGGTCATGGTTGTGGTCGTTGTGGTCATGGTGGTCATGGTTGTGGTTGTTGTTCTCGTGGTGGTCATGGTTGTGGTCGTGGTGGCCGTGGTTGTGGTGGTCGTGGTAGTGGCCATGGTTGTGGTCGTGGTAGTGGCCATGGTTGTGGTCGTGGTAGTGGCCATGGTTGTGGTCGTGGTAGTGGCCATGGTTGTGGTCTTGGTGGTTGTGGTAGTGGCCATGGTTGTGGTCTTGGTGGTTGTGGTAGTGGCCATGGTTGTGGTCGTGGTGGTTGTGGTAGTGACGATGGTGGTGGTAGTGGCCATGGTTGTGGTAGTGGCGATGGTCGTGGTAGTGGCCATGGTTGTGGTCGTGGTAGTGGCCATGGTTGTGGTAGTGGCCATGGTTGTGGTCGTGGTAGTGGCCATGGTTGTGGTCGTGGTAGTGGCCATGGTTGTGGTCGTGGTAGTGGCCATGGTTGTGGTCGTGGTAGTGGCCATGGTTGTGGTCTTGGTGGTCGTGGTAGTGGCCATGGTTGTGGTCTTGGTGGTCGTGGTAGTGGCCATGGTTGTGGTCTTGGTGGTCGTGGTAGTGGCCATGGTTGTGGTCTTGGTGGTCGTGGTAGTGGTCATGGTTGTGGTCGTGGTGGTTGTGACGATGGTCGTGGTAGTGGCCATGGTTGTGGTCGTTGTGGTAGTGACGATGGTCGTGGTAGTGGCCATGGTTGTGGTCGTGGTAGTGGCGATGGTCGTGGTAGTGGCGATGGTCGTGGTAGTGGCCATGGTTGTGGTCTTGGTGGTGGCCATGGTTGTGGTCTTGGTGGTTGTGGTAGTGGCCATGGTTGTGGTCTTGGTGATCGTGGTAGTGGCCATGGTTGTGGTCGTGGTAGTGGCCATGGTTGTGGTCGTGGTAGTCGTGGTAGTGGCCATGGTTGTGGTCGTGGTAGTGGCCATGGTTGTGGTCGTGGTAGTCGTGGTAGTGGCCATGGTTGTGGTTGTGGTAGTGGCCATGGTTGTGGTCGTGGTAGTGGTCGTGGTAGTGGCCATGGTTGTGGTCGTGGCCATGGTTGTGGTCGTGGTAGTCATGGTTGTGGTCGTGGCCATGGTTGTGGTCGTGGTAGTGGCCATGGTTGTGGTCGTGGTAGTGGCCATGGTTGTGGTAGTGGCCATGGTTGTGGTCGTGGTAGTGGCCATGGTTGTGGTCGTGGTAGTGGCCATGGTTGTGGTCGTGGTAGTGGCCATGGTTGTGGTCGTGGTAGTGGCCATGGTTGTGGTCGTGGTGGTGGCCATGGTTGTGGTCGTGGTAGTGGCCATGGTTGTGGTCGTGGTGGTGGCCATGGTTGTGGTCGTGGTGGTGGCCATGGTTGTGGTCGTGGTGGTGGCCATGGTTGTGGTCGTGGTGGTGGCCATGGTCGTGGTGGTGGCCATGGTTGTGGTCGTGGTGGTGGCCATGGTTGTGGTCGTGGTGGTGGCCATGGTTGTGGTCGTGGTAGTGGCCATGGTTGTGGTCGTGGTGGTGGCCATGGTTGTGGTCGTGGTGGTGGCCATGGTTGTGGTCGTGGTGGTGGCCATGGTTGTGGTCGTGGTAGTCGTGGTATTAGCAGCAGCAGTAGAAGATTATTTCATTTATTCGGTCATTATAAACATTAAATCTTAGGTCACTTGTTTAAAAAAAAAAATCATAACACCGAGGATCTTACAAATGAAGAATGAAAAATCTTTGTGCTAAATAATGCCTGACTGAACCAGTGTGACACACAATGCATTCTTATTTTGGTGTTTGTTTGCACAGAAACAGAACAATTATTCACAATAAAAGGTAGATTCAAATCCTCAACTAACATAACTAATATAATCCATCTATGCTTCTATCACCAGTTCTCACGTGTGGGTAGCTCTGGCCTCTGTCACACTTTTAGTGCTATCCACTCGGCACGGTGGTTGAGTGGATAGCACTCTTGCCTTTCAGCAAGAAGGTCCTGGGTTCGAATCCTAGTCGGACCAGGGCCTTTTCTGAGTTGTGTTTGCATGTTCTACCCGTGTCTGCGTAGGTTTCCTCCGTGTACTCCGGTTTCCCCTACCACTAAAAACATGTACAATAGTTCTGGCATGTGCCTCCTGTACTGGCCCCGCTCCCATCTCTGTGTAGAGTGAGAGACTAATGCCCAAAAATGCTTTGTGACTCTGGTCTGTGAAAGGTGGTATATAGATAAAGATTACTTACTTACTACTACTAGATCAGCTTATTCAAACAGAAAAGTGAAACAGAGGACCACCCTCACTCGGCCAATCAGCACTCAGATTTGGGCTACAATTCTTTTCAGTCTTTATTCATTGGTATACGTTTGAATGTGAACGTCCACGGTTATTAACATCTGCGTCTCGGTTCTTGTGCAGGTGGCTGGTGATCGCCGTGGGTTTGGTGCGAGCCTATTTGGCCAGAGGCAGCTACCACGGGCTTTTCTACTCCATCGAGAAACCACTCAAGTTCTTTCAGACCGGGGCTCTACTCGAGGTAAAGGACAATTTTCAAAATAAAATATGGACAATTCTACTAATAGTTGATGTATAAAGTGTTATGAACGTAGAGTTATGTCAATACTACTTAATAATTTAGAGCAAATTCACTTTTCTCTTTTCTCTCGGGGAACAGATGGGTATTGGTGAAGTAGGGCTGGTGGAAACGGAAAAAGGAAACCCATAGATCAGAATTACGCCGATCTAAAATAATGCAACAAAAGGAAAGGACGGATGTGATTGGCCACTGAGAAACCAACTCGGGAGCCAATCACGTCAGCCCCTATATCCACTGCAGCTTTTTGGCTCTACTATTTTAGCTTCCTGCTTCTCCCTGGGGCCAACACTCTCTCAACTGGATAAAAAAATATAGTAATGTGCAAAATTGAGTCTTAAATGGCACCTATATTAGTAGTCACTGAAGTAGGAGTGAGACGATATATCGATATAACAATATATCGGGATACTTTCTCCCGCGATCAATCGATTTTGAAAAAAATTAGTATCAATATTTAATATATGACTACATTACGCATCTCCTTTCCATTTATCATGAAATAAAGTGTATTTTTTCACATAACATTTTTCTTTTATTTATAAGTCATGAATTGGCATATTGTATATTTCTGACCAATATATCGATAATCGTCATATCGTGATATAATCGTTGTCGTGATATAATTGTTATCGTGAGCTTTGTATCGCGTATCGTATCGTGAGGTACCCTAAGGTTCCCACCCCTACTCTGAAGTAACCAAGTCACTCTGCCACAGCTCCCCCTGCCCCCTGTCAAACACACAATAATACTGTATTTTATTTAATTATTTATTTGATATGGACACAGCATTTACGTTGGACAGACCTGATGCGCTTTAGTGTTATAGCGAGGTCGAGCTAATTTTCCACACTAAAACACAAAACAACAAAGTAAATAGTCCCAATATAAGTCATATGGACAAACAGAAAACGCATAATATTTCTTCTTTTTTTCACCGAGACGTAAAGATAGAAACCCCGTCTTCTGTCTCTGCCTTTTTGCTGCTTTCTGAGGCTTGAATAAGAGTCTGCGCAGAATGAGAAGTGGCTGATTTATGTAAAAGTGGGGTCGGGTGAAACCTCTCCATGAGGATAATGAGATCTGGAAGTGTGTGATTGAAGGTTGTGCTGAAGCCTGTTGCATTGTGGGTAATGTGTGTTTTTCTCTTCTCCTCCCGCAGATCTTGCACTGCGCCGTCGGTGAGTCTTTCCTCCCACTTCTGTTATTAAAATATGATCCGCAGCCGCCGCATCTCACCACTGCTAAAACGACACCGTGACTGTTGCCGACGACAACCGGAGCCAACGATTATCATAGAAGTGAACTCTCTTCACCGTGTAAAAGAAATACCTTTGTGAATCAAAATGCATTATATATGTACTGTACAATTCCCTCATCCTTCCATACATCAGCTGCTGTATAAAACTAATAAAACTAATATACAAACTATCTTCATATTAGGAATAGGGCTGCAACTAACAACTATTTTAATGGTTGATTATCACCGACTATTGAAACGATTAGTCGACTAATCGGATAAATGAAGTTGCTTTAATTATGTGGCAAATGATAACAAACAAAGAACTTCAATGAAAATTCTCCTTTGCTGCTGGTTACATAAAGTGGATCCCAAAAGTAAATAAAAATGTCCTTTCTAAGAACAAGTTCGGCTTCTTCTTCGGACTGCATGCATTTAATTTGGAATAGGTTCGTCAGGCACAATCAGGCATAACTTTAAAAACATGTATTGGCACAGACGCTCTTGAAACTCTCTGCAGAGATTGTGCGACGGTGGATGCCTCACTCTGTTGGAAAAACACGGAATTCATTGTCGACTATCTCTATTATTGATTTTTTGTTGACAACGTTGACGAATTGATGCAACCCTAATTACAAAAGAAAGCGGTTAGAGTGATCAGTCATGCAGAATTCCTTGCTTCAACAAATCAAGACGTAATATCCTAAAATTGTGTGATCTTGTTGAAGTTTAGTTGAAGCAGCTGGGATGTACAAGGCTCATTAAAACCCCGGGCCAAAGAGTAACGCTAAGAGTAGGTGTGTTTCTCAACCAGTGGGCCGTGGCATGTTTGGGGGCCTTGAGACTTTTCTTGATGTGCCTTTGGAAATAATCCATTATCCTCAAATTGGTCCAAATAATGTGAAAAAAAAAATCGAATTAAAGGCTGCAGAGTTCAAATTTAGCATCAGTTTTATCTGGTGGTGTGCCGTGAGAATGTAAAAGTTGTGCCACGGCTCAAAAATGTCGGGGAACGCTGCCTTAAAGGTCCCACATTTTCCCGCTTTTAGGCTTTTCTAGTCTCTAAACGTCATTCATATTCATAATGCTGTCTTCAAACACATGCCCAAAGTAGTTTTTTTGTTGATTCCCTCCAGCTTTAGTGAGAGAGTGATCTTTCCCTTTCTCACTGGAGAGATGACGCGGCACAGAGCAGCAGAGTCTCGCTTTCAGGCGGCGCTCAGCTGTGATTGACAGTGATGTTTGTGGGTCCCGCAGCCTCCAGAAAACACACTGTACTGAAGTCTGTAAAGACACTTCTTATTGTTGATACTTTACTGCTGCTGCTTCTATGGAGCTGTTGTGGTTTTACAATCCATGGACTGATGCGTCCCTGCAGTTTGCTTTGTGTATAAAAAGTCTTAACTTGTCTGTGTGTCTCTGTGTTTGTGTGCCTGTGCGTGTCTGTTTGTCTGTGCCTCTGTCTCTGTGTCTGTATGTGTGTGTGCCTCTGTCTGTGTGTCTCTGTGTCTGTATGTGTGTGTGCCTCTGTCTGTGTCTCTGTCTGTATGTGTGTGTGCCTCTGTCTGTGTCTCTGTCTGTATGTGTGTGTGCCTCTGTCTGTGTCTGTATGTGTGTGTGCCTCTGTCTGTGTCTGTATGTGTGTGTGCCTCTGTCTGTGTGTCTCTGTGTCTGTATGTGTGTGCTTCTGTCTGTGTATCTCTGTGTCTGTATGTGTGTGTGTCTGTGTCTCTGTCTGTGTGTGTGTGCCTCTGTCTGTGTCTCTGTGTCTGTATGTGTGTGTGCCTCTGTCTGTGTCTGTATGTGTGTGTGCCTCTGTCTGTGTCTGTATGTGTGTGTGCCTCTGTCTGTGTGTCTGTATGTGTGTGTGCCTCTGTCTGTGTCTCTGTCTGTATGTGTGTGTGCCTCTGTCTGTATGTGTGTGTGCCTCTGTCTGTGTCTCTGTGTCTGTATGTGTGTGTGCCTCTGTCTGTGTCTGTATGTGTGTGTGTGTGTGCCTCTGTCTATGTGTCTCTGTGTCTGTATGTGTGTGTGGCCCTGTGTGTGTGTGTGTCCCTGTGTGTGTCTCTGTGTGTCCCTGTGTCTCTGTGTGTGTGTCCCCGTGTGTGTGTCCATGTGTGTGTCTCTGTGTGTCCCTGTGTGTGTGTATCTGTGTGTGTGTGTGCTTCTGTCTGTGTCTGTATGTGTGTGTGTGTGTGTGTCCCTGTGTGCATGTGTGTGTCTCTGTGTGTCCCTGTGTGTGTGTGTTCAGGTATCGTGCCCTCGTCCGTGGTGCTGACTGGATTTCAGGTCATGTCTCGGGTCTTCCTCACGTGGGCCGTCACTCACAGCGTCAGAGAGGTACACACTTCATTATTATCCTCACAGACACTGACCAGGACCTGGTTTTGGGTCCTCATTTTGATTCCTTTCTGGGCTTCAGTAATGAGGAAGTCCATCTTATTATTTTACAGACCAATGAAATGACTTTGCTTTCCAAAACATGCAAGTAAACCTAGACTATCTCAGTCCTTCAGTCTGTCAGTGTCTAAGTGCGAGGAGACAAAATGAAAACAAATACTGCATGATTTGTGCTGTTTTTAATTCCTCCCAGCTTACTTAACGACCAGTTTCTGTTTCCCTCGTTCATAGACCATGTTTAAATTCACCATCTCTGCTCCCACTCTCTGGAACTCTCTCCCCCCTCACCTCAGAAACACAGACTCACAAAACTCATCTCTTCCTCCAAGCACCCAACCTCTGAATTGTGCGTCTGAGTTTTTGAAAAGCGCTGTATAAAACCAATGTATTATTATTATTATTATTATCAAATCCAGGTTAAAAACAGTTCTGTTTAGCTAAGCATACAACTGTACTGTGAATATTTCTTATTTGAATGCTATCTGGTTTTGTGTATGGATTGTTCTATACAAATAACTTTGCCTTGCCCAGATGGAGGAGGATGAGAGTAAGTAAAGCTGGTGGAGTTCGTCGGTCTCTGGAGCTGATGCTATTGATTCTTACAGAAATAACATGTTTTAAATGCATTGTGGTTTTTCATACTGACGTTTTCCTTTGCACTGGTTTATGTCTGCATTTCAGAGAACATGTAAAATAAGATAAACTTTATTGATCTCACAACGGAGAATATTTACAACATGGTCCATCTGGAAAAAGCATATTATCAAGTCCAATTTCATGTGTTGATTGAGGTTTAAACATTGCACAGAACAATTTTGTGTAGTCCTAAATCTCAACAGCAATAAACTGAGGACTTTACAAAGTTGTTGAGCTGCCATCAAAAGATCAGAGAATCAAACCGTTCAAACTTCTTCTTTCTTCTCAAAAACCTCTTTACAGGATGGTCCAAAAGTGGCTCTTTATTTTTGGTCTAGTTTAGCTGCTGTGGGCTTTTCAATGCAACCGCTGTTTTATGGTTCAAACGTGTGAATCTTTCTTTTCTTACCCAGATGTGTTTTTGTGTGTTTGTGTTTGTTGTCTGTGTGTGTGTTTGTGTGTCTGTGTGTGCGTTTGTCTGTGTGTGCGTTTGTCTGTGTGTGTGTGTGTGTGTGTCTGTCTGTGTGTACATGTGTGTGTCTCAGGTGCAGAGTGAAGACAGTGTCCTGCTGTTTGTCTCTGCGTGGACCGTGACTGAAATCATCCGTTACTCCTTCTACACCTTCAGTCTGCTCAACCACCTGCCCTACCTCATCAAGTGGGCCAGGTACACACAACACACTACACACAGTATACAACACACCACATGATACACATTACTCGGCACACAGTACACGACACGCAGTGTGTGTGAATCATGGATCTATAATAATATCTGGATAGAGTATTAGTAGCTTATAGCTGTCCCACCCATGGCCACAGGGGGCGCCGTGGTACTGCAAACTAAAATCACATGGGCTACCCAGAAAAATGTCCCGTAGAACTCAATGTAAACTAAAACAGCTCCACCTCGGCTGACAGAGAACCTACAGCTTTCATAAAGGTCTGATTTTGTGGAGATTGTAGTGTCCCTTGTCATCCTGAACTTTTTTTCCACTTAAATCCTTCCGTTTTCTTTAAATCCAGACTTCACTGCCACAAACTCTGCTTGTTTATCTCCCGTTATTAACATGGGGTGAAAGAATATTAACATGTAAAGCGTCTTTGAGTGTCCCAAAAAAGCACAATATAAAACCAATTTTTTTATTGTTATTATTATTAAATTAAATGATTATGATGAGCTAAACATAACCATAATAAATCTTGTGCTCTTAAACCGTCAAACATTGACGGTGCAACCATCCAGAAGATGTCGGTCTGGAGCCACCTGTTGTTAAATGATCCGTGAGAAACGTGCTCTACAAATACACTTCCACTTCTGTAGAGTCGGTCCACTTTATCAAAACCAAGATATGAAGAGTCTGAAAACGTGGAAAAGAGCTTCTTCTCATCGTGTCGTCGTAAAGATCAAAGATAAAATGTGTAATTACGGCCGAACCCTGAAGTCTGAGTTATTCTGGTCCTTTTCCGCTGAACCCGCTTAAGCCTCGCTAATGGTTTTGTGCAGCAGCCGTTGCTAAGAGCGTCTCCCTGAGGCCTGTTGCTACGGAGACGGCAAGAGGCGAGAGCATCCTCCGTCTGTGAACCAGGCCAAGGTCCACTTTATCTATACAGCCCCGTTTACAAAGTAACACATTACAAGATACAAGTCTGCCAGATTTAAATTAAACCAACAAAATAAAATAAAAAACGATTCAGAGTAAATAAATAAAACAAATTAAAAAAGAACAAAAATAAATTCTGGTCTCTCCCTCCCTCTCCCTCTTTCTCTTCCTCTCTCGGGCCCCGCTCTCTCTCTGATCTCTACCTCTCTCTGGTCTCTCTCTCACTCTGAACTCTCTCTCTCTCTGGCCTCTCTCCCTCTCTCTCTGCCTCGCTCTCTCTGGTCTCTCCCTCTTTCTGGTCTCTCTCACTCTGAACTCTCTGGTCTCTCTCTCTCTCTCTCTCTCTCTGGCCTCCCTCTCTGGTCTCTCTCTGGCCTCTCTACCTCTCTCTGCCTCGCTCTCTCTGGCCTCTCTCCCTCTCTGCCTTGCTCTCTCTGTTCTCTCTCTCTCCCTCTCTCTCTGGTCTCTCTCTCTCCCCCTCTCTCTGTGTATAGACTACCATTGTGACCTCATGGTACAAACTCTTAACTCTCCTCACGGTTGAAACTGGCCTCATTCATTTCCAAATCCATCTGTTCTTCTTCTCCGGTCCACAGATACACCTTCTTCTTTGTGCTCTACCCGATGGGCGTGACCGGCGAGCTGCTGACCATCTACGCGGCGCTGCCCGTGGTGCAGAAGACCGGTCTCTACTCCGTCACTCTGCCCAACAAGTACAACTTCTCCTTCGACTACTACAGCTTCCTCATCCTCGTCATGCTCTCCTACATCCCACGTGAGTCTCGCCAAAGCCTCCATTTTGGTTTCATAGTTTAAGAACCATAGACTGAATGTGGAACGGTCTCCCTGCGTGGGAATCCGCAGCCACGTTTTTGGATAGCGACTACATAGCAACAAGAGAGCCAATCAGGAGTGAGGCTTGTTTGTTCGCATTTGCTGAGGTTTGGCCTGAACTCTCACATGTCTCTCTGTCTCTGATCTTTCTCTCTGTCTCTGGTCTCTCTGCCTCTGATCTTTCTCTCTGCTCTCTCTGTCTCTCTGTCTCTCTGCCTCTGGTCTTTCTCACTGGTCTTTCTTTCTGGTATTTCTCTCTGGTGTCTCTGTCTCTGACCTCCCTCTCTGGTCTCTTTTTCTGGTCTCTCTCTCTCTAGTACTTCTTCTCTCTCTGGTCTTGCTCTCTGGTCTCTCTCTAGTCTCCCTCTTTGGTCTCTCTCTATGGTCTTTCTCACTGGTCTTTCTCTCTGGTCTCTTTCTGGTCTCCCTCTTTGGTCTCTCTCTGTTCTCTCTTTCTCTGGTCTCTCCTTGGTCTCTCGGTCTCTCGGTCTCTGGTCTCGCTCATTCTGGTCTCTCTTTCTGGTCTCCCTCTTTGGTCTCTCCGTCTCTGGTCTCTAGGGTCTTTCTCACTGGTTTGTATCTCTAGTCGCTCTGTCCCTGGTCTCTCTGTTCTCTTTCTCTGATCTCTCTAGTCTCTGTCGCTCTCTCTCTGTGGTCTCTCTGGTCTCTTTTCTCTGATCTCTCTGTCTCTGGTCTCTCTTTCTGGTCTCCTCTCTCTGGTCTCCTCTCTCTGGTCTCCTCTCTCTGGTCTCCTCTCTTTGGTCTCCTCTCTTTGGTCTCCTCTCTTTGGTCTCCTCTCTCTGGTCTCTCTCTCTGGGGTCTCTCTCTGGGGTCTCTCTCTGGGGTCTCTCTCTGGGGTCTCTCTCTGGGGTCTCTCTCTGGGGTCTCTCTCTGGTCTCTCTCTCTGGTCTCTCTCTGGTCTCTCTCTGGTCTCTCTCTCTGGGGTCTCTCTCTGGTCTCTCTCTCTGGTCTCTCTCTCTGGTCTCTCTCTCTGGTCTCCTCTCTCTGGTCTCTCTCTCTGGGGTCTCTCTCTGGTCTCTCTCTCTGGTCTCTCTCTGGTCTCTCTCTCTGGTCTCTCTCTCTGGTCTCTCTCTCTGGTCTCTCTCTCTGGTCTCTCTCTCTGGTCTCTCTCTCTGGTCTCTCTCTCTGGTCTCTCTCTCTGGTCTCTCTCTCTGGTCTCTCTCTCTGGTCTCTCTCTCTGGTCTCTCTCTCTGGTCTCCCTCTCTGGTCTCCCTCTCTGGTCTCCCTCTCTAGTCTCTCTGCCCCTGGTCTCTCTGCTTTCTTTCTCTGGTCTCTCTCTCCAGAACCAGGCTTGTCTTTTCACATTTACTGAATCAGGAAAGCCGGACTTTTTTTGCCTCTGTTCTGATTGGCCGAGTGACACCTGCATGTGAAAACTAGCGATAGCCGCTAACAGCTTTGATCTTTTCTCTGCAGTTTTCCCGCAGCTGTATTTCCACATGATCCGGCAGCGAAAGAAGGTCCTGGGCCACGTCGACGACTACAGCAAAGTGGAGTGAGGAGAACAACTAAAAAGAAAAGAAACGGAAATAAAACCAAAAAATACAGCATAAGCATTTAGAGCGGAGAGCCCGAAAACACAACTGCCAGAGCCGAACGGGGAAACGTCATTTATTCCAAGCTTAAAAGAAAAAACCTCACATGTTTTTATAATAGTATTTATGAGCGGGCGGCAGCAGCAGTGGCTGGTAGCAGTCTGAATCCAAGGCAAAGGACGTTTTTATACTGCGACAAATCATAACATACTTGCATGGAATAATCTCACTTGAATTCAAAATATTAGGCTTGCGCTTTAGAATCATCTTGTTCTCTTTTAAGTTGTTCTTTTTAGCGTTTACAATACTATTTCCTAAGTTTTTTATTAACCCTAAACCAGACCAGTGGGTTATTTTGAACAACAATGCAATAGCCATGGCTTTCCCCTGCACTCTTAAATGCATCTGCTGGCCTCGTGTCAGTAGTATCCAGTTGCCGTGGTTACATGTCAGGATTAAGCAGTAAAAAGTGGTTTGACCCAGTTTCAAAAAGACTGTTTTTTCAATCAAGCTGAACTAGTTTTAACCAGTGCTTTGTAAATGTAGCCTATTACTCTACTCTACTCTACTCTACCCTACTCTACCCTACTCTACTCTACCCTACTCTACTCTACTCTACCCTACCCTACCCTACTCTACTCTACCCTACCCTACCCTACTCTACTCTACCCTACTCTACCCTACCCTACTCTACCCTACTCTACCCTACTCTACTCTACCCTACTCTACCCTACTCTACCCTACTCTACCCTACCCTACTCTACTCTACTCTACCCTACTCTACACTACTCTACCCTACACTACTCTACCCTACTCTACCCTACTCTACTCTACCCTACTCTACCTTACTCTACCCTTCCCTACTCTACTCTACTCTACCCTACCCTACTCTACCCTACCCTACTCTACTCTACTCTACCCTACCCTACCCTACTCTACTCTACTCTACTCTACCCTACCCTACCCTACTCTACTCTACTCTACCCTACCCTACCCTACCCTACCCTACTCTGCGGCCTACACTACTCTCCCCCACCCCATCCCGGTTAACTGTTCTAACTGAGAGAGATTGGCCAGTTAGAGTGCTGCTGGAAGCCATGGTTACCAAGGAATTTACCCGGTGTGTTGCATGCAGGTTGCTAGGTTACGGTACCGCCAACTAAAGCGCCTGATAAGACGAGAGAACAATGGAAAATAATTGGGAAAAAATCTTACGGTTCCATGCACAGCTTTGGGTACGATTCTTATTGATAATTTTTGTTCTTTTTGCCAATTTTCTCCTTTTTTCACAAACCCACACATAGAAAATGCCTCTAAAACGGTGAATATTCTGAATTCAAGTCACTTCACCTCCATTTTGAAACGCAGCTTCTTTGCGGGAGAATCGTTGGGTCGCCATGGCAACAGACTAGAATATAGATATGTCGATGCACTGTTTATAGTTTGTCCTCTGTGTTTTTTTGTTCCATTTTAACAACATTCCTAATTTAGTTAAATAAACTTGTTTTGTTACGTACTTGCATGCCTCCATTCATTCACTGATTTTTTTTTCATTGTGATTTTATTTTGAAATGTGCTTTTTGAGTAATATTGTGAAATTCAACTGCGTTATTAGTCGTTTTTACTGAAATTGACTCTAAATGGGTTAATATTTTGGCACTTTTTTGTAATTTTTATTCTCAAATCGTAGTATTGTTTTAGCTATGGCTATTTTAAAGCTGGGGTACTTGTTATAACCACACAAAAATTGGACAAACTCATCAAATCTATGTCACTAGTTTTTATATTTATGTATTTCTGGTTTCTGTCACAAAAGCCAGTATTACAATATTGTCTTTTTCTCTTTTTGGGACAGAAAAGTTTAAAAGAAGCCAGAGAGAGAGACCACATCCTCTCCGATGGTAAAGCTGCACATTCTTCTTGGCAAAAAGCCTGTACATTCCTGGGCTGCCTTGCATGAGCTGCACGTGTGAGATCTCCTCAGACCCTCAATCATATGACAATTGAAAGATATGTTTTAATTATTTTTGTTTGGGTTACACACGCACACCACTAATGACGAGAAGCGTTTAGTGCTATTGTTCCAACTCTCCAAAATATGACCAGCAAAAATTGTGTTTTCTTGCTGAAGTGGTCAATTTTTTAACAACAGATCAGAGAAACAAACAGTTAAAACACAGGAAATACAATAAGAACAAACGCAGGAGCCAGTGGTCCATGGGAAGCCTGATGACCCACGATAGAAGTTTAGACCCACGATAGACCCAGTTTAGACCCATGATAGACCCATGATGGACCCAGTTTAGACCCATGTTAGATGTTAGACCCAGTTTAGACCCATGTTAGATGTTAGACCCATGATAGACCCATGTTAGATGTTAGACCCATGATGGACCCAGTTTAGACCCATGTTAGATGTTAGACCCATGATAGACCCAGTTTAGACCCATGATAGACCCAGTTTAGACCCATGATAGACCCAGTTTAGACCTACGTTAGATTTTAGACCCATGATAGACCCATGTTAGATGTTAGACCCACGTTAAACCCATGATAGACCCAGTTTAGACCCATGATAGACCCATGTTAGACCCATGTTAAACCCATGATAGACCAATCGTTAGACCCATGTTAGAACCACATAGACCCACGTTAGATCAGAAAGTGGAGAGGGCGGTTCTTTCCTAAAATGTATGAAATACCTTTGTGGATACCTTTTTAAATACAATGTAAAATAAAAACTAGACTTTCCACATACATTTTGTGCAGACGAGAAATATGTCTTAATATTACCTGTTATAATGGGCCAATATGATTTTGTCTATAACTAATTTTTCAACTACAATGCACCGAACAAACACTTCTCTTTGCTGTTCTTCTACAAAAGTCTCATCTGTTCCCACATCTCCATCCTCCACTACTGCTCTCTCTACTTTGGACAAATGTAGCACTGTTTATTTATATTGTCTCATATCGCGTTCTGCAGATATGAAGGCCATTGCAGTGCGTCATGTTGCCACCAGGCGTCACCAAAGGGCTATAGACATTCCTCATTCTCAGCAACTTGATCGGGTTTGGGGTGACGGGTTTTGACAAGGCTTTTTTTAATGGAATCGAATTGTAGCTCTCGATGGGAAGTGTGGTTTTACTGTAAGCCTTTGATTTCTGTGGTGTAAACACAATCCTGGAGGAAACGGGTTAAAGGGAGAAAGGTTTGTTGTGTGAAATAAAAAGGCAGAAAAGACAGCACAATATACAGTAGCAGTAGATGCAGAGGGACTTGGAGGCTAGAAATGATTAGTTTTATTGTTAGACATTATTAACGGATTTATTTAGGTTTTTGTGTTTACATTTTCTAATATGTGCAGTAAAAGTTGAGAACACACATTTTAGTCTGAGCGATAAATCTGTATTTATTTGCCATTTTATTTTATGTGGATTTTAAAATGTGGGTCTGATATTTTCAAATCTGCAAATATTTAAAGACAAAGTTAGTGTGTATGGTATTCTTTAATTGCAGTAAAAAATAATGTATCATAATCCATAAATTATGGTTTTAGTCGGAGCTAAAACGATTGCCAACGGGACGAGCGAAAGATGTTTTAGGGATGAGGAAATTCTCACTTGGAACAAGAGAGAGATTGGAGAGAGATCAGAGAGACTCTAGGAGGAAAGACCGGAGGGTTACTGGAGGGAGAAAGACAGACAGAGAGAGTTCAGAGAGAGACCGGAGGAAAGACAAGGGAGATACCAGAGAGATACCAGAGAGAGAGAGATCAGAGAGAGGCCAGAGAAAAGACGAGAGAGAGATCGGAGGAAAGACCAGAGAGAGACAGAACAGAGAGGGACAAACCAGAGGGAGACCGACCACAGAGAGACAGAACAGAGAGGGAGAGAACAGAGAGACAGACCAGAGAGAGACTGACCAGAGAGAGACTGACCAGAGAGAGACTGACCAGAGAGACTGACCAGAGAGAGACTGACCAGAGAGAGACCGACCAGAGAGAGACTGACCAGAGAGAGGCCGACCAGAGAGAGGCCGACCAGAGAGAGAGGCCGACCAGAGAGAGGCCGACCAGAGAGAGAGGCCGACCAGAGAGAGGCCGACCAGAGAGAGGCCGACCAGAGAGAGGCCGACCAGAGAGAGGCCGACCAGAGAGAGGCCGACCAGAGAGAGAGGCCGACCAGAGAGAGAGGCCGACCAGAGAGAGAGACCGACCAGAGAGAGACCGACCAGAGAGAGGCCGAACAGAGAGAGACCGAACAGAGAGAGACCGAACAGAGAGAGTCAGAACAGAGAGAGAGACCGACCAGAGAGAGGCCGACCAGAGAGAGGCCGAACAGAGAGAGACCGACCAGAGAGAGGCCGACCAGAGAGAGGCCGACCAGAGAGAGGCCGAACAGAGAGAGACCGACCAGAGAGAGCGGCCGACCAGAGAGAGGCCGACCAGAGAGAGGCCGAACAGAGAGAGACCGACCAGAGAGAGTCAGAACAGAGAGAGAGACCGACCAGAGAGAGAGGCCGACCAGAGAGAGAGGCCGACCAGAGAGAGGCCGACCAGAGAGAGCGGCCGACCAGAGAGAGGCCGACCAGAGAGAGGCCGAACAGAGAGAGACCGACCAGAGAGAGGCCGACCAGAGAGAGGCCGACCAGAGAGAGAGGCCGACCAGAGAGAGAGGCCGACCAGAGAGAGGCCGACCAGAGAGAGGCCGACCAGAGAGAGACCGAACAGAGAGAGTCAGAACAGAGAGAGAGTCAGAACAGAGAGAGAGACCCCCCAATAGCATGAGGAACACCCACACCTCTCCACATAAATGTAAAGTAACAAGGACTAAAAGTAAGAATCCTTTTGCACAATGAAAGACAAAAAAAAATTGTATTTAAGCAAAACTTAGAAAAACCAGTGACGATCGCTGGTATTTTTAATGGTTTTCCCGTTGCTTTCCTCATGTGTAGCGTCGCTTTCGTCTCTTTCATCGTTGGTCTTTTGTAGCAGCTGAAGCGGTGCCTGTGAAGTGGACGATCTGTGCTCTTTTTCTATTCTATACCTTTAACTTTTTAAACGGTGGAAGCATGATTTTCAGGCGTGAACAAAAGCATCGGGGAAACTGGACTGGAATGAAAAAAAGCATGGAATGTGTTACGACAAAACTGAAACTTGTGTCCAGTGGTTTTGATACGAGCATTTTGCATGGGGCCAGTGGACTTTGGTGTCCGACAGTTCTATATTTACAATAAACATCCAGTATGGACAGAACGTGTCTGTCGTTTTTCTGCATTCTTCTCTTCTTTCTCTGTCTACAAGTCTGTACATTTCAAATACGAGAGAGAGAGAGACCAGAGTGAGAGAGAGAGACCAGAGAGAGAGAGGGAGAGAGAGTGACCGGAGAGAGAGGGGCCAGAGAGAGAGACAGGATAGAGAGGGACAGAGACCAGAGAGAGAGAGAGAGAGAGAGAGAGAGAGAGAGAGAAGGACAAAAGAGAGAGGGACCAAAAAGAGAGACTAGAGAGAGACCATAGAGAGAGAGAGATGGACGAAGAGAGACCAGTGAGAAGGACCAGAGAGATAGAGAGGTGGTTTTGACATGAGAGTTTTTGCGTGGGGCCAGTGGACAATAAACTTACATTATGAAAAGAATGTGTCAGTCGTGTTTCTAGATTCTTCTATACTTTCTCTGTCTACAAGTCTGTACATTTCAAATACCATAAAGAGAGAGACCAGAGAGAGAGGGACTAAAGAGAGAGAGACCAGGAAGAGAGAGAGAGACAGGATAGAGAGGGGCAGAGACCAGAGAGAGAGATGGACGAAGAGAGACCAGAGAGAGAGAGATAGAGAGGGACCAGAGAGAGAGAGATAGAGAGGGACCAGAGAGAGGTGGTTTTGATATGAGCGTTTTGCATGGGGCCAGTGGACTTTGGTATTGAACAATTCTATATTTACAATAAACATCCAGTATGAAGAGAATGTGTCTGTTGTTTTTTAAATGTCAAATACTGTAGAGAGAGAGACCAGAGAGAGAGGGTCCACATAGAGAGGGAGAGAGAGAGAGAGACCAGAGAGAGAGAAACTAGGGAGAGAGAGAGAAACTAGGGAGAGAGAGAGAGAGAGCGAGACCAGACAGAGAGAAAGGCTCCACATAGAGAGAGAGAGACTAGAGGGAGTAACTGGTATTTTGGCCCATTCCTCCATGCAGATCTTCTCGAGAGCAGTGAACACAGACTTTCAACTCCCTCCACAGATTTTCAATGGGGTTGAGGTCTGGAGACTGGCTCGGCCACTCCAGGACTTTCAAATGCTTCTTACGGAGCCACTCCTTCGTTGCCCGGGCGGTGTGTTTGGGATCATTGTCATGCTGGAAGACCCAGCCACGTTTCATCTTCAAAGCTCTCACTGATGGACGGAGGTTTTGGCTCAAAATCTCACGATACATGGCCCCATTCATTCTTTCCTCAACACGGATCAGTCGTCCTGTCCCCTTAGCAGAAAAACAGCCCCAAAGCATGACGTTTCCACCCCCATGCTTCACAGTAGGTATGGTGTTCTTGGGATGCAACTCAGTATTCTTCTTCCTCCAAACATGACGAGTTGAGTTTATACCAAACAGTTCTACTTTGGTTTCATCTGACCACATGACATTCTCCCAATCCTCTGCTGCATCATCCATGTGCTCTCTGGCAAACTTCAGACGGGCCTGGACATGCACTGGCTTCAGCAGGGGGACACGTCTGGCACTGCAGGATTCGATTCCCTGTCGTCGTAGTGTGCTACTGATGGTAACCTTTGTTACTTTGGTCCCAGCTCTCTGCAGGTCATTCACCAGGTCCCCCCGTGTGGTTCTGGGATATTTGATCACCGTTCTCATGATCATTGTGACCCCACGGGATGAGATCTTGCGTGGAGCCCCAGATAAAGGGAGATTATCAGTGGTCTTGTATGTCTTCCATTTTCTGATAATTGCTTCCACAGTTGATTTGTTCACACCAAGCCGCTTGCCTATTGTAGATTCACACTTCCCAGTCTGGTGCAGGTCTACAATTCTTTTCCTGGTGTCCTTCGACAGCTCTTTGGTCTTGGCCATAGTGGAGTTTGGAGTCTGACTGTTTGAGGCTGTGGACAGGTGTCTTTTATACAGATAACGAGTTCAAACAGTTCAAACAGGGGCGACAGTAGCTCAGTTGGTAGAGCATTGGCCTTTGGGCCTGAAGGTTGTGGGTTCAAGCCCACCATAAGACCTACTTCACGACTCCCACTGATGACTGCTGTCGTTGTGTCCTTGGGCAAGACACTTAACCCCACTTTGCACGAAGCTCCCATTGAAAGATCTCAGCTCCTGTGGACTCACCACCTGCAGGAGGATCAGTGAGGGGCTGGTGCTCTGTGACTGGGTGCAGCTCTGACTGCCACCCCCTCGACCCAGAAATGGATTAAGGGGAAGAAAATGGAATGGAATGGAGTTCAAACAGTTGCCATTAATACAGGTAACGAGTGGAGGACAGAAGAGATTCTTAAAGAAGAAGTTACAGGTCTGTGAGAGCCAGAGATCTTCCTTGTTTGAACTGACCAAATACTTATTTTTCACCATAATGTACAAATAAATTCTTTACAAATCTTACAATGTGAATTCCGGGATTTTTTTTCACATTCTGTCTCTCACAGTTGAAGTGAACCTATGATGAAAATTACAGACCTCTGTCATGATTTTAAGTGGGAGAACTTGCACAGTCGGTGGCTGACTAAATACTTTTTTGCCCCACTGTATGTGTCTTGTACTCAGTTACTTCTAAATACAGTCATGTGTAACTTTACTGTAGTTTTGGGCTGTACGAGATCTGAGTTTTTTACAGTGAAAACACAGAGAGTGTAAAGTGTCACAATGAAAACATGTCTAAGTCATGTGACTGTTGTTCACACTCAATGTTGTCAGGACTTATTATTCTGAGACACAGACAGTTTCATTGACATGAAGACTTGCTTTTGAGGAATTAACTTTTCATTTTGAGAAAGTAACACACTTTTGCAGGTTATCCACCAGGTTTTGCAGTTTGTACTAATTGTTCTGAGAAATGCACAAACTGTTGTGCAGATGTGAAGAATGATGTGAAAAATGTACCAAAGACACTGAGAAAAACTGTCAATGATTTCACTCAGACACATTTCTTAAATAAATGCTCAATCATTGTTTTGGAATAATTTACAGTGTAAAATAACAAACCACAGGCAGATACTATTTGATCATTACAAAGAGCAGTGGAAAATTGAATTGCTAAGAAAACTCAAATTGAGAACTTATATTCAGATTAAAGAATGTTTTTCAACAGAGATTTATGTGAAATATAATTTGAAAAGAGGACAGAGGTCTCTGTGTGCTCAGCTCAGAGCAGGAGTGCTGCCTCTAGAGGTGGAGGTGGGTCATTACAGAGGGGTACCTGAAGAGAACAGACTTTGTAATGTTTGTGATCTATGTGTGGTGGAGGATGAATTTCACTTTATGTTCTATTGTCCATTGTATAATGATTTAAGAACAGCTTTGTTTGAAAGAGTCGAATGCAGTAATCCTGATCTATTTTGGTTGGCAGAAGGTGATATGTTGAGTTGGTTATTTAGAAATTCAATTTTTTGTTTGGCAAGATATGTGGAGAAAGCCTGGACAATGAGAATGAAAGCTTTGTATCCAGATTCTTGATTTTTCTGTGAAATGTATATTGTATATTGAACATATTGTTTAAATGGTCGTCTTCCAAGTTATGTTTATAGTGTCATATAAGCCCATGTGGGCTGGGCACATATGTGCATGACACTTAAATAAAATATTCATTCATTCATTCATTCTAGAGAAAGTATTTTCAGACTGAGGCTGTGGACTAGACAGACGGATACATAGATAGATACATAGATAGATAGATAGATAGATAGATAGACAGACAGACAGACAGACAGACAGACAGACAGACAAAAAATGAACTCTCTAATCTAAACTTTGCTGTTACCGTGACTCCCAGCGCAGGCCGTGGACGGTGACGGTGCCTCTTCATTGCACAGTATGTATCAGCAGCTAAAGCCCAAACCCTGGTGCATTAGCTGGGCGCTGTTGGCCGGGCGCTGTTGGCCGGGCGCTGTTGGCCGGGCGCTGTTGGCCGGGCGCTGTTGGCCGGGCGCTGTTGGCCGGGCGCTGTTGGCCGGGCGCTGTTGGCCGGGCGCTGTTGGCCGGGCGTTGTTAGCCGTGCTCAGATGGAGACGTGCTCGTGTGCAGTCACAGGTCAGAGCACTCTTGTCCAAACACGCTAAGTGGCATTCCATCAGCGGCTTTGACGGCGGAGAGAGAGAGAGATTTAGACATGATTTTATTTGTTATAATGTTTATCATTGGCTCACAGCTGTTAAAAATACTTCATGGACCCAAGAATATCTGGGTTTCATATGACGTCAGGGCAGTGGCGCGAATAACAAACGTAGGACAGGACGTGACGTATCCTGGCGGTGCAGTCTGCCGGGTTTATACACGGAGATATAGTAGAAGAAGAAGAGCTGTCAAAATGCCGTCTTTTTGTGCGGTGTACGCTTGTAGCAACCGCACAAATAGAGAGAAAGACCAGAGTTTGTTCATGTTCCAACTGTGGTCTCATATAAAGGAGGACACTTTGAACAAATCACTGGAATGAGGCGGGCGAGGTGGATCAAGGCTTTCCCAGACAAGCGCCCCCTGCAGGCCACCCCAATGAAACGCAACAATTTCTTCTGGTTTTCTTTCCAAAAATGCCCAAAGTCAAGACTATTTTGAGAAATATTTTTAGTGCTCCCTTAGAATTGAGTGTCCCCGATTAAGACTGTTACAACAACCGTACACCGCACAGGAGGAGAGCCTTTGACTCCAAAACAGACTTTACATGGTTTTCATCCATCCATCCATTTTCTTCCCCTTAATCCATTTCTGGGTCGGGGGGGTGACAGTCAGAGCTGCACCCAGTCACAGAGCACCAGCCCCTCACTGATCCTCCTGCAGGTGCTGAGTCCACAGGAGCTGAGATCTTTCAGTGGGGGCTTCAGGCAAAGTGGGGTTAAGTGTCTTGCCCAAGGACACAACGACGGCAGTCATCAGTGGGAGTCGTGAAGTAGGTCTTGAGGTGGGCTCGAACCCACGACCTTCAGGCTCAAAGGCCAATGCTCTACCAACTGAGCTACTGTCGCCCCAGACTTTACATGGTTTTCAATGGGAGCAAAACTGTCCCACCTCTGCTCATTCGCCCCCTACTGGTCAGTTTAATGAAACACAAGAATAGACAGATAGATGATGTAGAGAGAGATCAGACAGACAGAGAGAGCACCTGGAGAAAACCGGAGCACTCGGACGAAACCGGAGCAGCTGGAGGAAACTGGAGCACCTGGAGGAAACCGGAGCACCTAGAGGAAACCTATGCAGACACTATAGAACATGCCAACTCCACTCAGAAAGGCCTGGAGATTTATCAGTGGAACAAGCTTGTTTATCGTTTACCGTACACTATTTTACTCATTCATATCTGTATTATATTATGTACAGCCATGTTTTAGTTGATTTATTTATTCCAACCAATAAAAATGAGACATTTTACATTTGTTCCATTGACAGGCCATGCTTTCAGATACTTTCATCAATCATATTTTTCTGCCTACGACCAATATCTCTGCATTCAGTCGCTGACCGCAGCAGACAGTAGTGAGTCATGCGTGTGGGGGCGGGGCATCACTCAGGGCCGTACTCACAATGGCCTGTAGGGGTTTTGTAACTGCGGGAGGAGGAGGAGGAGGGGGACACTTCAGGCTCTGCACAAGATGAAGAAACATGCAGGAGTTTGTGAAAACATCAAGGTGAAGAGAAGAAACACATTTGTGCCGAGGCTTTGGAGCAAGAACGCAGCGAGACAGAAGCGAAGGCAGCGTGGTCTCAATGAGAGGGAGGGTTAGGGAGCAGAGGGTTAGGGAGCAGAGGGTTAGGGAGCAGAGGGTGAGGGAGCAGAGGGTTAGGGAGCAGAGGGTGAGGGAGCAGAGGGTTAGGGAGCAGAGGGTGCAGAGGGTTAGTGAGCAGAGGGTTAGGGAGCAGAGGGTGAGGGAGCAGAGGGTTTGGGAGCAGAGGGTGAGGGGGCAGAGGGTGAGGGAGCAGAGGGTTTGGGAGCAGAGGGTTAGTGAGCAGAGGGTTAGGGAGCAGAGGGTTAGGGAGCAGAGGGTTAGGGAGCAGAGGGTGAGTGAGCAGAGGGTTAGGGAGCAGAGGGTTAGGGAGCAGAGGGTTAGGGAGCAGAGGGTGAGGGGGCAGAGGGTGAGGGGGCAGAGGGTGAGAGAGCAGAGGTTTTGGGAGCAGAGGGTGAGGGGGCAGAGGGTTAGGGAGCAGAGGGTTAGGGAGCAGAGGGTTTGGGAGCAGAGGATTAGGGAGCAGAGGGTTAGGGAGCAGAGGGTGAGGGAGCAGAGGATTAGGGAGCAGAGGGTTAGGGAGCAGAGGGTGAGGGAGCAGAGAGTTAGGGAGCAGAGGGTTAGGGAGCAGAGGGTGCAGAGGGTTAGTGAGCAGAGGGTTAGGGAGCAGAGGGTTAGTGAGCAGAAGGTTAGGGAGCAGAGGGTGCAGAGGGTTAGGGAGCAGAGGATTAGGGAGCAGAGGGTTAGGGAGCAGAGGGTGAGGGAGCAGAGGATTAGGGAGCAGAGGGTTAGGGAGCAGAGGGTGAGGGAGCAGAGAGTTAGGGAGCAGAGGGTTAGGGAGCAGAGGGTTAGGGAGCAAAGGGTGAGGGAGCAGAGGATTAGGGAGCAGAGGGTTAGGGAGCAGAGGGTGAGGGAGCAGAGAGTTAGGGAGCAGAGGGTTAGTGAGCAGAGGGTTAGGGAGCAGAGGGTTAGTGAGCAGAAGGTTAGGGAGCAGAGGGTGCAGAGGGTTAGGGAGCAGAGGGTTAAGGAGCAGAGGATTAGGGAGCAGAGGATTAGGGAGCAGAGGGTTAGGGAGCAGAGGGTTAGGGAGGAGCAGAGGGTTAGGGAGCAGAGGGTTAGGGAGCAGAGGGTGCAGAGGGTTAGTGAGCAGAGGGTTAGGGAGCAGAGGGTTAGGGAGCAGAGGGTTAAGGAGCAGAGGGTTAGGGAGCAGAGGGTGCAGAGGGTTAGTGAGCAGAGGATTAGGGAGCAGAGGGTTAGTGAGCAGAGGGTGAGGGAGTAGAGGGTTTGGGAGCAGAGGATTAGGGAGAAGAGGATTAGGGAGCAGAGGGTGAGGGAGCAGAGGGTGAGGGAGCAGAGGCTCAATGTGGATCTCCCCGAGGTTTCCCACTTTTATCCCACTGGGTTTTAGAGTTTTTCCTCTGATGCAGGAGTGTGTTGGGCAGCTAGTGTCCAACTAGAAGCACTGTGGTGATCCAGGACACTTTAACATTCTACAACAAGTATGAAATTTATCAACATGTATGAAATTTATCAACATTCATGGACATTGAACCAATTCATATGTGTATATTTTGTGTCTTTAAGTAAGTACAGTTTATTTGTATAGCGCCTTTCACAGACCAGGATCACAAAGTGCTTCACAGATTAAAACGTTACTGTTGATTCTCTGATCTGTGTTGGTGATTTCAATGGTTTTGTTAAGTCTCTGAGATGATGCTGTTGTGATTTAGGGCGATACAAGAACAAATTGTATTGTATTGTATTGTACGTGTGTGTGTGTATATACAGTATTTACAGTATGTATTTAAGCCGTGATCTTCCTGTGGCCCTCAGTCCTGCTCTTGCTTCTCAGTGTCCTCTGCATCTGTACTTTTCAGTGTATGCACGGCTTTTGACAGCTGCAGCAGCACCTACAACCAATCGGTTTGATTTCTCTGTTCTTTCTCTCTGGTCTCTCTCTGGTCTCTCTCTGGTCTCTCTCTGGTCTCTCTCTGGTCACTCTCTGGTCTCTCTCTGGTCTCTCTCTGGTCTCTCTCTGGTCACTCTCTGGTCTCTCTCTGGCCTCTCTCTGGTCACTCTCTGGTCTCTCTCTGGTCTCTCTCTGGTCTCTCTCTGGTCTCTCTCTGGTCTCTCTCTGGTCTCTCTCTGGTCACTCTCTGGTCTCTCTCTGGTCTCTCTCTGGTCTCTCTCTGGTCACTCTCTGGTCTCTCTCTGGCCTCTCTCTGGTCTCTCTCTGGTCTCTCTCTGGTCTCTCTCTCTCTGGTCTCTCTCTGGTCACTCTCTGGTCTCTCTCTGGTCTCGCTCTGGTCTCTCTCTGGTCACTCTGTGGTCTCTCTCTGGTCTCTCTCTGGTCTCTCTCTAGTCACTCTCTGGTCTCTCTCTGGTCTCGCTCTGGTCTCTCTCTGGTCTCTCTCTGATCTCTCTCTGGTCTCTCTCTGGTCTCTCTGAATGTGGAATCTGGTTCAAATCCATGATGGAGATTTGAGTCTGGGATCATTCTGAGCAGTTGTTGTTTTGAGTCGGGGGCAGAAGAGGACGGCGTTCAAAGCTCTGGTCATGAGACGCTCTGGAGCTGGAGGCAGATCAATGAGAAGATGATTTTAATCAGAGTGTTTTGAATTTGAGGACACGACGGAGAAAGAAGACATCTGTGCCTCAGACTAACCAGGTTTCACACTTGGATTTTTTGAAAGGGCACGAGCCAATCCTTGAAACGCAAAACAAGACGCAGGAAGAAGGAAGTCACAAGGGCTCAATTTGCTATTCTTAGTTTTAGTGGAAAATGTGTAATAATATCTCATAAGAGAGGAGAGGACTCTGAGGAATACAGGGACTGGCCTCCTGCTAGGACTCTGAGGAACACAGGGACTGGCCTCCTGCTGGGACTCTGAGGAGCACAGGGACTGGCCTCCTGCTGGGACTCTGAGGAGCACAGGGACTGGCCACCTGCTGGGGCTCTGAGGAACACAGGGACTAGCCTCCTGCTAGGACTCTGAGGAACACAGGGACTGGCCTCCTGCTGGGACTCTGAGGAGCACAGGGACTGGCCTCCTGCTGGGACTCTGAGGAGCACAGGGACTGGCCTCCTGCTGGGACTCTGAGGAGCACAGGGACTAGCCTCCTGCTTTGACTCTGAGGAGCACAGGGACTAGCCTCCTGCTTTGACTCTGAGGAGCACAGGGACTGGCCTCCTGCTGGGACTCTGAGGAGCACAGGGACTGGCCTCCTGCTGGGACTCTGAGGAGCACAGGGACTGGCCTCCTGGTCATTCCCAGAGTCAGAACTAAATATATAGTATTTTTTAACTGATTCTTCATTATGCTGAATCTAGAGATGTTTACATTTGCTTTCTTATTATACTAAAGTTAAAAGGTTTATTTTAATTTTAAATGTACCGTCATTATATTTATGTTTTGCTCAGCACTACAAATGAACTTGCCTCGCCTCGCCTTGCCCTGCAGCCTCTCCCCCTCTCTCCGCGCTGCCCAGGGGGTCTCTCTCTCTCTGTTCTCTCTCCTCCAGCTGAGCTCCCGCCCCTCGGCCCTTTCATCCCAGTCTGACAGACGTAGCTTCTGACCAATCAGCGCCTCCCGCCTGCGTGACTCAGTCTGCGGCGTTCCCAATGGAAACTGCAGCGCGAGGCGGGCACGAGGAAGCACACTTGGTTGGAGTGTCCATTAAAGCTCTAATCAGAGTAAGAAAAAAAACCCCAACAAAATCAAAACAACACACTGGTGATGGCAACGCGAGGCACGGGTGGACATCTGCCCCGGGACGCACGCACGGACCTGGATCTACCTGGAGGTGGAGGAGACCCTCGGATACAAATCTAAACACCAACCGCCTGTGTGGGAGTGCGAACCGGGGGCGACATCTGCAGATTTATGCCTATTTTCTCTCCTGCTGAAGCTGAAATGCATGATGTGTCTGTGCGGTTGAAGCAGCAGGCGATGGAGGAGCCCGTCCAGTCTCACCTGGTTGACGTTTTGCATTAAAATTGCTTAGAATTGGATTTGCATTTGCAGTTGCATCCTAACAGGTGATCAATCCCATGCTTAATGACACCAGCAACTGCATGAATGGACATCGCAGTTTGCATTTGTGGATGTCTCCCACGGGACCCTACCCTGGCACTATACACTGTGGATCTCCAGTGGATCTTGGCTGGTAATTAGCCCCGTATAATGCAACGCCAACTCCGCCTGGATCTGCAAAGGCTGCCTCCTTCTCTATTGGACCCATGTGACTCTCGCCTTCAATTGTTTTTGTATTCCCTGCAGAGTGGATTATCCCAGGTTTGAAAAGAATGCGTCGGCCGCTGCTCACTGCGCGCTGTCAAGTCACCCCTGGGGAAAGCAGAAGAGACAGAAGCCAGGTCTTGGACACTTGTAGTTGTTTGAAACGGGCTATTTTTAGGTGTGGAAACTTTGCACAAACATTACCAGCAGGGGGGAGTAGGGTGCTCCAAATTTTGTCCTTGGGGGCTGGAATATATGTATGTGTGTGTTAGTCCAGGACCAGACCTGAGTCCAAAATGTGGTCCTAGGAGGCTGGGTTTTAATATTTGTTGTAGCCCAGGTCCAGAGAGGTCCTGGGACTTTAATCTAAAGGGCAGCTAAAATAGATTACTATTCATATATTTAAGTTTGCGAAGTGATATAGACATTACAATATTCATAAGTGAGGCTGTAGACCGAGGACTGAGGTTGTAGGTCCAGGACTGAGGCTGTAGACCCAGGACTGAGGCTGTAGACCCACGACTGACGCTGTAGACCCAGGACTGAGGCTGTAGACCCAGGACTGAGGCTGTAGACCCAGGACTGAGGCTGTAGACCCAGGACTGAGGCTGTAGACCCAGGACTGAGGCTGTAGACCCAGGACTGAGGCTGTAGACCCAGGACTGAGGCTGTAGACCCAGGACTGAGGCTGTAGACCCAGGACTGAAGCTGTAGCTCCAGGACTGAGACACAATTCCTAAAGCAAGAAACACCACTCATAAGTTTGTAATTCAAACTCAATTTTATTCTATTCTATTTATACGTGTGCATTCACTTCCACAAAGTTCCACTAAAATTTAGCGTGACTGTCATAGCATTTTGACACAATTTGCCAATTTTTCAGCACAATATCGCCGTAAGCAGCTCCTCTCTGTTATACCAACTACACATGTTACGCCATCTTGTAAATAAGTTCTTACACAAAACGCTAAAGTCAGAGGATTAAAACTACTGCTAAAACCTCTCATTCTACAATACTTAGAGCTGCAGCTTAAGGATATTTTAATAATGTAGATTTGTATCGTTTATTGCCTTTGATTCACTGTGGAGCCTGGCCTTTCACTACATATGAACGACATATTTAAGAAACGACAGAATTCTTATTTGTAACAATAACAAACTGTCTGGTGTCAAGTCAAAGCTTAGAGCAGTGTCGGGGCAGAACACAAACACTTCTGTGGGAAAAACAAAGGCTGGAATGAGTTTTGTGCTCTCCAGGCGAAGCTGGTTCACATATTTTCAGTTAAAAGTGAAAATGTATCCAAAGAATCAAGACAAAGGTTTTTCAATGGAAGATTTTCTGGTTTTCAATTAGATGTATTAGTTCTAATGACATCTGCATTCTCAGTTAGAACTATGTAATGGTGACATATTGAGGTCCGTACAAAAGAGTGAGACTTATAAAGAAAGTAAAGAAAAAACTATTATTGTATGCGTTTTTAATCCAAGTTTGAGTACAGAACTATGTGAGATCAACAATGGATAAACGAGAGACTTAATCATATATTTAAAGTTAAAAAAAACATTCTTGTTAAAGTTTTAGAGACAGTTTCTTCACTATGCATTGGAGTCACTTTTATTAGTCGCTGGATTTTACAGCATTAACTTTTTTTTCTGCATGGATTCCCTCTACTACAACTTTTTTGGACTTTTTCTCTAGTTTTTTCCCTCCTCGTTGCAATGTCACGGTCCAATAGCGTGAGTCCTCCAGGAGTGGGACATCCCGGGATGCGGAGGGGGGTGGGGACTGAGCACAAACCCGCCTGGCCCGAGTCGGTGTCGGTCTCGAACGGCTGCCCTTACGCGTCCTCCAGAGCTCCACCACCTCCACCTCCTCCACCTCCTCCAGCAGCCGCAGCGCGCAGCTCCTCCAACCACCACAACCGCTGGAGAGACCACCATGACGCGGCCACGGAGGCGCACATGCACAGAACTCGCCCCACCACCACCACCACCACCACTACCGCTACTGTCAGCCGGGTCAGCTTCCGATCGAGGTCCGCTTGGCAAGACCACGGCGAGCGGTCATCCCCCAAGCCGCTACACGAGCTGAGGGCGAGCAAGACCAGTTTGGAGTTGCAGGAGCGCGCACGGACTTCTGGGTCATGCAGGCGGGTTCTGAGTCCCAGCAAGCTCCCCACGACGACGAGTAACAAACCCACTGAGCCAGAGGAGGATTACGCGATGCCCCAAGTGACTGTGGCCTCCTGCTGCGCCAGTGTCCTGCAAGTTTTCAAGTCAAAAAAGTTCCAGTCGGAGAAGTTGGAGAGGCTCTATCAGCGCTACTTCTTCCGCTTGAACCAGAGCAGTTTGACGATGCTCATGGCGGTCCTGGTCCTCCTGTTCTCGGTGATGCTGGGGTTCCATTGCGCAGGAGGAGAGGCCAACGCCACTCTTGTCTCCGTCTTCGCCATAGCCATATTCCTGATCCTGGTGCTGATGGTGGTGTGTAACCGGAACGCCTTTCACCAGGACCACATGTGGATGGTGTGTTACGCGCTGATCCTGCTGGTGCTGGTGGTGCAGGTGATCGGCGTGATGCTGGTGCGGCCCCTGAGCGCGCAGGAGGGAGTGTGGTGGACGGTGTTCTTCATCCACATCGTCTACACGCTGCTCCCGGTGCGGATGCGGGCGGCGGTGATCACGGGGCTGGCGCTGTCGGGGATCCACGTGGTCGTGTCGGGGATGCTCAACGGGACGGATGGGTTCGTGTGGAAACAGGTGAGGCATGGACATGGCTTTGTGTTTGTTAGTTTGAGGCTGTGGTTTCATGGACTGAGGTTATAGATCCAGGACTGAGGCTGTAGACCCAGGACTGAGGCTGTAGATCCAGGACTGAGGCTGTAGACCCAAGACTGAGGCTGTAGCTCCAGAACTGAGGCTGTAGCTCCAGGACTGAGGCTGTAGCTCCAGGACTGAGGCTGTAGCTCCAGGACTGAGGCTGTAGCTCCAGGACTGAGGCTGTAGACCCAGGACTGAGGCTGTAGATCCAGGACTGAGGCTGTAGACCCAGGACTGAGGCTGTAGACCCAGGACTGAGGCTGTAGACCCAGGACTGAGGCTGTAGACCCAGGACTGAGGCTGTAGACCCAGGACTGAGGTTGTAGATCCAGGACTGAGGCTGTAGATCCAGGACTGAGGCTGTAGCTCCAGGACTGAGGCTGTAGCTCCAGGACTGAGGCTGTAGCTCCAGGACTGAGGCTGTAGCTCCAGGACTGAGGCTGTAGCTCCAGGACTGAGGCTGTAGACCCAGGACTGAGGCTGTAGACCCAGGACTGAGGCTGTAGACCCAGGACTGAGGCTGTAGACCCAGGACTGAGGCTGTAGACCCAGGACTGAGGCTGTAGACCCAGGACTGAGGTTGTAGATCCAGGACTGAGGCTGTAGACCCAGGACTGAGGCTGTAGACCCAGGACTGAGGCTGTAGCTCCAGGACTGAAGCTGTAGACCCAGGACTGAGGCTGTAGACCCAGGACTGAGGCTGTAGACCCAGGACTGAGGCTGTAGACCCAGGACAGAGGCTGTAGACCCAGGACTGAGGCTGTAGACCCAGGACTGAGGCTGTAGATCAGGACGAGGCTGTAGACCCCAGGACTGAGGCTGTAGATCCAGGACTGAGGCTGTAGATCCAGGACTGAGGCTGTAGATCCAGGACTGAGGCTGTAGACCAGGACTGAGGCTGTAGACCCAGGACTGAGGCTGTAGACCCAGGACTGAGGCTGTAGCCCAGGACTGAGGCTGTAGACCCAGGACTGAGGCTGTAGCTCCAGGACTGAGGCTGTAGACCCAGGACTGAGGCTGTAGACCCAGGACTGAGGCTGTAGACCCAGGACTGAGGCTGTAGACCCAGGACTGAGGCTGTAGACCCAGGACTGAGGCTGTAGACCCAGGACTGAGGCTGTAGACCCAGGACTGAGGCTGTAGATCCAGGACTGAGGCTGTAGACCCAGGACTGAGGCTGTAGATCCAGGACTGAGGCTGTAGATCCAGGACTGAGGCTGTTGACCCAGGACTGAGGCTGTAGACCCAGGACTGAGGCTGTAGACCCAGGACTGAGGCTGTAGATCCAGGACTGAGGCTGTAGACCCAGGACTGAGGCTGTAGAAACCTCATAATCTGGACATTTTGAAACTTACTCCAACTTTCTGAGCTGTGTTGTTATTATTGTGCGTCTGTGCGGCAACTTTGTCCATGTTCTGTACTTCCACTAAGTTCCACTAAACTTTTCACCACAAATGTCCTGCAGATGAGGAGCAGAGGCAGGATGTGTTATGGTTGCGTTTTGTTGTGTTGCCTTTGGGTTGTGTGGCTTTTACCTGATTGTATTTTCTATTCGATCAGGGCAATGCTCAATGATTTAACAATTGCAGATGTTTAAATCATAAGAGATTTTATGGATATATAGAACTTAATCCTAGTTTTTGTGTTTTGAAAGTTAAGTCACTCTGCTTTAAAGTCCCTGATAGGATCTTGAAATGCATCTCAGTGGTATCAAACTACAATTCTCTCTCTCTGCTTGAATGTCCCCAAACTTACCCACATTCAGAAACGTATAAAAGTAACTCCAACTTGTCCCTTTACCCGTGATTTTAATATTAATTCTGGTCATATTCTCTGCTGCTAGAGGACAAAACGAACCATCTGAAAACACTACTGTAGCTTATCTGATCTGGTTTTATATAAAGTTTAATACTATTTTAAAATGTAAAAATCTGTCATTTATGATGGTTCTGTAATTGGGAAAATACAACATTCATGGACAGAGTCTGACAGAAATATTGGAAAGACAATGATTAAACTGAAGAGCAGCTGGGCTCAATGTGGGTCTCCCTGAGGTTTCTCACTTTTTTCCCATAATTCTTTGTTGTTGACATTTTATAGACAGTGGTCGTCCTGCTCCTATGAACCATGGATCTATTATAATAACTGGATAGGGTATGACTAGCTTGGAGCTGAAGGACCCATGTGCTCGGGGGATCCTCGCGGTACTGCAGACTAGACCAGACTAAATTCACGAAGGCTGCACAGAAATGTTCCCCATAGATCTCAATGTAAATTAAAACAGTTCGACCTCAGCGGACAGAGAACCTGACAGAGAACCTACAGCTTTCACAAAGGTCTGATTTCGTGGGGATTTTAGTTTCCCTTGTCGTCCTGAACTTTTTTTCTTCTTAAATCCTTCAGTTTTCTTTAAATCCACACTTTATTGCCACAAACTCTGCTGGTTCCCATCCCGCTCTAACTCTACTCTGATGAACTGCTGTGATTGGTCAGAGAGTGGCCGAGCCCCTCTGTGCACGTGCATGAGAGCTACACACATGTATTTGGCGCAAAGCATCATGGGAGTTCATCCACTGTGCAAAACCGGGAGGACCAGACGATGCCCAAATACAAGGGAGTTCTCCATGGATCTTTGCGAGTTCCAGGCGTGTTCCGGTAAACTTTGAGCGCCCATGCTGACACAAAGAGCCACTGAGCACAACCATTCATTTGAACCAAAGGCTTCTGTGTGTTTGTTATGATTGTATTTCCTGTGTTCAAATAGTTTGATTCTCTGATCGACAACTTTGTAAAGCCCTCCAAGACGACTGCTGTTGTGATTTAGGGCTCTCTGGTCTCTCCCTCTCTGGTCTCTGATCTCTCTCTCCCTCTCTCTCTCTCTGGCCTGTCTCTCTCTCTGGTCTCTCTCTCTGGTCCCTCTCTCTTTGGTCTCTCTCTCTCTGGTCTCTCCGTCTCTGGTCTCTCTCTCTCTGGCCTGTCTCTCTCTCTGGTCTCTCTCTCTCCCTCTCCTTCCCTGGTCTCTCTCTCTCTCTCTCTGATCCCTCTCTCTCTGGCCTGTCTCTCTCTCTGGTCCCTCTCTCTCTGCCTGTCTCTCTCTCTGGTCCCTCTCTCTCTGGCCTGTCTCTTTCTCTGGTCTCTCCCTCTCTAGTCTCTCTCTCCCTCTCTCTCTCTGGTCCCTCTCTCTCTGGCCTGTCTCTCTCTCTGGTCTCTCTCTCTCTGGTCCCTCTCTTTCTGGCCTGTCTCTCTCTCTCTCTCTCTCTCCCTCTCTGGTCTCTCTCTCTCTCTCTCACTCTGGTCCCTCCCTCTCTGGCCTGTCTCTCTCTCTGGTCTCTCTCTCTCTCTCTCTCCCTCTCTCTCACTCTGGTCCCTCCCTCTCTGGCCTGTCTCTGTCTCTGGTCTCTCCCTCTCTGGTCTCTCTCTCCCTCTCTCTCTCTCTGGTCCCTCTCTCTCTGGCCTGTCTCTCTCTCTGATCTCTCCCTCTCTGGTCTCTCTCTCTGGTCCCTCTCTCTCTGGTCCCTCTCTCTCTGGCCTGTCTCTCTCTCTGATCTCTCTCTCTCTGGTCTCTCTCTCTGGTCCCTCTCTCTCTGGTCCCTCTCTCTCTGGCCTGTCTCTCTCGCTCCCTCTCTGGTCCCTCTCTCTCCGGCCTGTCTCTCTCTCTGGTCTCTCTCTGTCCCTCTCCCTCTCTGGTCCCTCTCTTTCTGGCCTGTCTCTCTCTCTCCCTCTCCCTCTCTGGTCTCTCTCTCTCCCTCTCTGGTCTCTCTCTCTCCCTCTCTGGTCCCTCTCTCTCTGGCCTGTCTCTCTCTCTGGTCTCTCCCTCTCTCTCTCTCTGGTCTGTCTCTCTCGCTGGTCTCTCCCTCGCTGATCTCTCCCTCTCTGGTCTCTCTCTCTCCCTCTCTCTCTCTCTGGTCCCTCTCTCTCTGGCCTGTCTCTCTCTCTGGTCTCTCTCTCGCTCTGGTCCCTCTATCTCTGGCCTGTCTTTCTCTGGTCTCTCTCTCTCCCTCTCTCTCTCTCTGGTCTGTCTCTCTCGCTGGTCTCTCCCTCGCTGATCTCTCCCTCTCTGGTCTCTCTCTCTCCCTCTCTCTCTCTCTGGCCTGTCTCTCTTTTTGGTCGCCCCCTCTCTGGTCTCCCTCTCTCCCTCCCTCTCTCTAGTATCTCTCAACAATCCGAGCATGGAACCAAACAAGGCACTGTTGTCGTCGTTGTCGATAAAGATCAAAGCGCTCTCTTCTTCGTCTCTTCTTCTTCTTTTCCATCAAATCAGAAAGTGTCGAGTTGTTTTTTTAGAAGAGTCATGAAAACACCCAATTACACTGAGGTTTATTGGATTAGAACTTTGGACGCTCAGTACTTTTAAAAACTTTGTCCGCTGTAACTATCTCTGGACAACAACTGGACAAATGTCATCATAGTATCATAAATGTATCAATAAAATAGTGTACACCGTAATTACTGTAGTATCAGTCACTATTTGTCTGAAGTTATGGACAAGTAGTGGCGTATTTATTATGCTAACGCTAGAGATTTGATACTAGCTTCTTTATTATGCTAACGCTAGAGATTTTATACTTGTTTTTTTATTATGCTAAAGCTAGAGATGGTTGTTTATTTTAGTACAGAGTGTTTTTTCATTTATCCTGTGCTCTTAATCTTAATCTTAATCTTAATTAAGCTCTTAAAATGACTTTATTCTAAAATGTAGCTGTTGTGGTTTATATTCAGGTACCCATAATACACTGCAAAAACATGATCAAATATGAGCTAATAATTGCTTGTGTTTCTAGTGTTTTTATCTTAATCTGACACATTCTGACGTTTTTAAAACAAGATTGTCCAATGGTCCAATCTTGTTTTAAGGCTCAGTCAGAATGTGCTCAAACTAAGACACATTTTGCCAAATTTAAGCAATTTTTTTTCATCACTTTTTGCAGTGTATCTCTGTCTGTTTACTCTACAACACTGGGAATGTGATTGAATTTTTGTTTTTGTTGTTGCTGGAGGTTCTTTATGTCCCTTTTAAAGCACTTATCAGATTGTGTTGTGTTTCTTAATGAAAGGACGTTCGCAGCCTGGATACTTCAGTGGGTAATGGCTTCAAGATCATCGGGTCTTTGTCTTTGGGAACAGCTGCAAACGAACCGAGACCTCACAGCGAGCCTCTGATGATTTGATTTAATACACGTCCCTTTAAACTGCGGTATTTAACTGTCAGACCACTGGGATTTAACTCTTTAATAATGAGATCCAAGTGGCAAGGTTCATTTCTAAGGCTGTAGATCCAGGACTGAGGCTGTAGATCCAGGACTGAGGCTGTAGACCTAGGACTGAGGCTGTAGATCCAGGACTGAGGCTGTAGATCCAAGACTGAGGCTGTAGATCCAGGACTGAGGCTGTAGATCCAAGACTGAGGCTGTAGATCCAGGACTGAGGCTGTAGATCCAAGACTGAGGCTGTAGATCCAGGACTGAGGCTGTAGATCCAGGACCGAGGCTGTAGACCCAGGACTGAGGCTGTAGACCTTGGACTGAGGCTGTAGACCCAGGGCTGAGGCTGTAGACCCAGGACTGAGGCTGTAGACCCAGGACTGAGGCTGTAGACCCAGGACTGAGGCTGTAGACCCAGGACTGAGGCTGTAGACCCAGGACTGAGGCTGTAGATCCAGGACTGAGGCTGTAGATCCAAGACTGAGGCTGTAGATCCAGGACTGAGGCTGTAGACCCAGGACTGAGGCTGTAGACCCAGGACTGAGGCTGTAGACCCAGGACTGAGGCTGTAGACCTTGGACTGAGGCTGTAGACCCAGGGCTGAGGCTGTAGACCCAGGACTGAGGCTGTAGACCCAGGGCTGAGGCTGTAGACCCAGGACTGAGGCTGTAGACCCAGGACTGAGGCTGTAGACCCAGGACTGAGGCTGTAGACCCAGGACTGAGGCTGTAGACCCAGGACTGAGGCTGTAGACCTAGGACTGAGGCTGTAGACCCAGGACTGAGGCTGTAGACCCAGGACTGAGGCTGTAGACCCAGGACTGAGGCTGTAGATCCAGGACTGAGGCTGTAGATCCAGGACTGAGGCTGTAGACCCAGGACTGAGGCTGTAGACCCTGGACTGAGGCTGTAGACCCAGGACTGAGGCTGTAGACCCTGGACTGAGGCTGTAGACCCAGGACTGAGGCTGTAGACCCAGGACTGAGGCTGTAGACCCAGGACTGAGGCTGTAGACCCAGGACTGAGGCTGTAGACCCAGGACTGAGGCTGTAGACCTTGGACTGAGGCTGTAGACCCAGGGCTGAGGCTGTAGACCCAGGGCTGAGGCTGTAGACCCAGGACTGAGGCTGTAGATCCAGGACTGAGGCTGTAGATCCAGGACTGAGGCTGTAGACCCAGGACTGAGGCTGTAGACCCAGGACTGAGGCTGTAGACCCAGGACTGAGGCTGTAGACCCAGGACTGAGGCTGTAGACCCAGGACTGAGGCTGTAGACCCAGGACTGAGGCTGTAGACCCAGGACTATTTGAAGCCGCTGGTGTAACTGTGAATAAAACATGATTGGATTTGAGAAAACAAACATTCTTATTGTTACTGTCCCATTATTCTTTTACTGCGTTTATTTTTATTGGTTTGTTGTAAAAACACGATGTCTGGATGTTTTTGCTCCGATTGTGATGATGTAAGAATAAAACAATCTGCTGTCGAGAAACTGTCATTTTCTATTTGTCTGCGGCTTTTTACTGCTGTTGGCGACATGTGCTGATGGGACTGGACCAATAACTGCTGCTGCTACTGCTACTGCTGCTGCTACTGCTACTACTGCTACTACTGCTACTACTGCTGCTGCTACTACTGCTGCTGCTACCACTGCTGCTGCTACCACTGCTGCTGCTACTACTGCTACTGCTACTACTGCTACTGCTACTACTGCTACTGCTGCTACTACTGCTGCTACTGCTGCTACTACTGCTGCTACTGCTACTGCTGCTGCAGACTAAACCAGACGTGGGCTACCCAAATATTTTCCCCATAGAACTCAATGTAAATTAAAACAGTTCGACCTCAGCTGACAGAGAACCTGACAGAGAACCTGACAGAGAACCTGACAGAGAACCTGACAGAGAACCTGACAGAGAACCTGACAGAGAACCTGACAGAGAACCTGACAGAGAACCTACAGCTTTCAGAAAGATTGTATTTTGTGTGGATTTTAGTGTCCCTTGTCATCCTGAACTTAAAAAAAAATAAATCCTTGTGCCACAAACTCTGCTCGTCTTCTTCCCGCTCTGATGAACTGCTCTGATTGGTTAGAACGTGGCCGAGCCCCTCTGTGCACGTGCATGAGAGCCACAAACGCGTATTTGGCGCAAAGCATCATGGGAGCCCGTCCACTGCGCAGAACCGGGAGGACCAGACAATGCCCAAATATGGAGTTCTGCTGATCTTTTGATCCTCGTGGCTACTGAGCACAAGCCATGGATTTGAATCGGACGCCATCTTGGATCACCGGGTCTTGGTTACGGCTCAAAGCTAACTCTGTCGGAACAAATGCCCATATAAGGAAATTGGCTCTAGCTAGCTTATGTTCAAATCAGCCACTTCCACAATATGGCTAATACTAACACTCGGTCAGTCTTTTCACAAAATGTAAATAACCAAATAATGACATAGACAGATATATATTTAGATTTAGCGGTGGTGCAGCTGCTGTTAATCGCTAAACCTTTAATTCTAATCTTAGTGCCTAGTTACTCATACAGGAAATGCTAATAAGAACAAGAAGGTGGCTGCAGGATTAAATGTGGAATAATCTGTGGTGAGCTGCAGCCTCCTGAGTCCTATGGAGTAAAATGGTAGCATTATTTTAACAAGGCTCCAGCTGACGTCATCGCTTTTCGTGCATATTGTTTTTTAGTGCGCTGTTGAGGCCTAGCAACTCATAAAAACACTAACTCCCCCTTTACTTTACTGCACCTCGGCTCCTGGCTTTGTTACCTGGGCGTTCGCAAAAATGACAGCGGTTTTCCAATGTTATTTAAAGCCTGACTTAATTGCATCAGCGTATTTCTTTTAATAACTAGATCCACTGTGAGAAGTTTTCCATTTTTGAGCCACCTTTTTGCGTCACTAAACTTTGCATGTATTAAAGGTAACAGTGAAGTGAAGCTGGCCTGTCAAAGGACATGGAAACGTCTGCCTTATGTCGTTTTGACCCAATAAAATAAATATTAACGTCTACCTTGGAATCTGCTGTTTTGGTAACGCTTGCATCATATTATTAATTGGCAGTTTGGGAGTATTTGTATTTATTTTGCTTGTAGAAACATTGCTACGTGGCGCTTGCAGTGACTGAGGAGTTCATTATTTTGACATTTTGTGAATGATGTTGAAGACTGTTCCAAATACTTTGCTGAGAAGACATTTTGGGAAAAGTCAAAATGGATTACTGTTTTTTTGGTCGCTGAAAGAATTAGTGAAATAACCTTTTCACAGCTCTTTCACAAACCTACAGCTTTCATAAAGGTTGCATTTGTGTGCGGATTTTAATGTCCCTTGTCGTCCTCAACGTTTGTTGTTTTTAAAGGAGCAGTATGTAAAAATATGGCCAAAATTGGTACTGCACTCTCTCTGACTCAGGTTGCCAGATATGCAGACGAATCCAGCTGGGACCATAACAGCTGAATAGACAAGAGTTTTGTCAACAACAAATCTATAACCAACACCTTTTTCACAAAGATAGAAATCCTGGTTTTATTCCTTGTTTTGTCGTTAATGATTTGCGAATCATAACAAGACCTTTTTTTAGTTCTGCGCCACATGGTACTTTACCAGTGAGATTAGCTCCACGCGGTGAGTTCTGGCGCCCGGATCACCGACTTTCTGATTGGTGAAACAGTGGAGGGCGGGACATAAAAATAAAAACAAGATTTAGGGGCTGTAAAACTAATGTTGAAATTCAAATCTCTCTGAACTACTGTCATCAGTTAAAGAAGAATTGGAAAAGAGCAAGTTTTATTAATACTTTGGACAGATTAGGGCCCTTTAATGATGACAGATTAGGGCCCTTTAATGATGACTTGACATGAAAATCTCACATAATGAAACTTTAAATCCGTCAGTTTGCTATAAATCCACACTTCAGTGCCACAAACTCTGCTCGTTTCCTTCCCGCTCTGGCTCCGCTCTGATCAGCAGCTCTGATTGGTCAGAGCGCGGCCGAGCCCCTCTGTGCACGTGCATGAGACCCACACACGTGTATTTGGCGCAAAGCATCATGGGAGATCATCCACTGTGCAGAACCGGGAGGACCAGACGATGCCTAAATATTCCTCACAGACTGAGCTACACAGGTTAGCATTCAACCTGCCTTGTGACTACAACAAAACTCTAGGAACCAATTATATGGATATTCTTAAGCTGGATAATGAATTTAGCAATTTTAAGTTAATTATATATATTTTTGCCAAGGAAATATTTTTAATTGCACCTACACTCATGGATTTATTTACCGCAAGCGTCTACTTTTTGGCTTAGCTGTTTTCTAGCCTTTTTCTAAACTGTTTTCTAACCCGTAAAACTACACTCAAGTCACACCAGGACAATACTTTGCACAACGACAGCGTAACACGGCGAGGAACAAGAGTGAAGCTTTTCTTGCGCACATTCTCATCAAAAATATGTTTAAACATTTTGATATCGCTCCATGCGGATGAGAAACTCGCCGTAGTCCATTGTAAAGAGCCACCTTTTTGCGTCATAGTCACTAAACTTTGAAAGTATTAAAAGTAACATTAAGTGAAGCTGGCCTGTCAAAGTCCATGGAAAAGTCTGCTTTATCTACTTTTGACTTTGCCCAATGAAATTCCAAATACTTTACTGAGAAGACATTTTGGGAAAGTCAAAATGGCGCCTGGTTTTTGGTCGTTTTCTCGCCTTATTCTAAACTGTTTTCTAGCCCGTAAAACAAGACTCATGTCACTCTAGGGACAATACTTTGCGCAGTATCGCTCCATGTGGATGAGAAACTAGTCCATTATAAAGTGCTTCCTCTGCTTCTGGAGGCACTGCGCTGTGACTTTAGAAGATTTTTAAAGTTGTTTGTTTTAATTGGTGCTGAAAAGCCGACAGGGGTCCAAACAACACGCCGGCGTTTCCCACTGTTAACCCAGTGTCGACACAAATCAGA